GTTTTATGGTTTTTATTTTTAATTTGAGAATTTTGGCCCTTACAAAAGTGACTTCCGTTGACAAAACTGATGTCTGGATTAATGATTCAGAATTATTATAATATGAAATTAGGTAGGCACTTATAGTTATATTCGAGAAGTAATTATGAATCCATTTGTAATTAGGTTCTTTGGTTAGGTTTTTATGTATCTTGGTAGCGAATATGAAACCAAAAGTAACGTAAGTGCTTAGCGACGAATTTTAAGTGACTAAAATCCAACGTAATATGACGTTGGTAATTGGTAGAATTACATTCCCTATTAGGTCAGATACCGACGTCGAGGCGATCCGAATCTGTATTCCCCATTCAGGTGCAAATATGGGTCGTCAGGCGGTCGAACCGACGTTGGTACCCGACGTCGTATTTATTGAACGCGACGTATACCCGACGTTAGATAACGTCCAAATGCTACTTGGGGGGAATATCAGCGCTGACGGTCCGCTCCGTTTGAAACAGCACTTATTCTTTATTCTAGCCAATTGGCACTTGTTTTCTTACGAGACATCATAATGTCATAAGGTGTAATTTTTAATATTAATCTAAGGATGTAATTATTGAATGTTTTCCAAAAAATAATTAAAGGAAACATAGCCACAAGAATGGGAAGTTTGAATCTGAAGTTTTTAACCAAGTGTTTTTAGACTTTATTCTTAAAAAGTTTAGTATATGCATTTAAGAGTACATTTTACTAGTCCGAAAAAATAGTAAAATACCTATATTTGAGATTTTCCTCCACGGATAAGATTTTGTACAGCTTTTATCAGAGCTGCGTTAATTCCGGATTCGTGCAATACTTCCCATAACTTTATTATTGGCACTGTCATAGGCTTTTTGTAGATCGATTAATGTTATATGAACTTTCTGGTTCATTGCAGATTTCTTCTCGATGATCTGTTTCAGTGCAAAGATATTTTCTGGACATGAGCTTCTGCGTCTAAAAGCATTTTTTAAGTTTTACCACAGCTTATTCAGTATAAGCTTGTCACCTTCGCATAGTTTTTAGTATCAGTCTTTTCCCCGCTGATATTTTATTGTAGGTATGAAGTATGAATGATGTGTTTTTTGCATGAGATAAAACAATTATTTTTAAATATAAAAATAGGTGGCAAAAAACCGGTTTTAATTTCTAATTCATTTAATTGCATTATAAGACGCAACCTTGATGATAAAATGAATATGCAATTTAAAAAGATGCTTTTTTAGTAACTTTTTTTAACACCCGACCTTTCAAGCGTGCTAACGGTATGGTTAAACATAACTTAACTAAGAGTGATAATTAATGCTTAAAATACATATGTGGGAAAAAACGATTACCTATTCACCTAGTCATTTATGTAAAATACAATTATTAAAATTTCCACTGGCAACATGTTTATTTGCTATTGTAGTTAAATTAAATCTTATAAATAAACTGCATTTTTTTTCTGAGCATCAGCACGTTCTCAACAGGATGACCATGTTGATATTTATAAAAAATATATCGATATTTTGAATACTAATAATTGTTTTGGTATACAGTGTGTCTCTAGATGGATATGCAAAGATCCACCTTTTAAAGTTTGCTATTTCGACTTTTAACAAAAAGTCATTCTATACAGGGTGCTTCAAAGAACATGTGCGTGAGGATACTTCTCACGTAAAAATAAGATTTATTCTTTATGTCAACATAGGTCCGATTCTGCTTCGTTTACAAAATCACATGTTTTTTGAAATACCCTAATAATAATGAAATAGTTACTCGAACTTCAAATTTTAATTAGCACATAAAGAAAGAAAATTCAAAAATCCCAATTTCATTATTCATTAAATTAAGATTAATGATTATTAGATAAATTAAAGGGTCTAGATGCTACCAGTAACTCATTATCCAGTCGACACGAAGTTGTACGAATAAATTATAATAGCTCTGGTTTCAACTTTTTTAGTGATTTCTTGTTTTTTTTTAATTTTGGAAAGGTGGACACCTGATAATGGTCCCATCTCAGGTTTGGTCTCCCTCTAGGTCTCTTAATTCCTCGTGAGTACCATGCTGTAATTTTTGTGGTCCATCTGTTGTCCGCCCTTCTTGCCAAGTGTCCTGCCCATTGCCCAGATTAGATTTATTACTTGAGGGATTTGATTCTGTGGATGACATCTATTACCTGGGTCTTTTGTCGTATCCACTCTATTCTTTTGCGGTCTCTCTTGGTTATTCTCAGCATATTTCGTTCCACTGAGCGTTGTGCGACGTTCATCTGTCTTATAATGTCCGTTTAAAGGTTGATTCTCACTATACCTTCCATATCAGCACAGAATATCTAGCTACGCAACAGAAGCCTCGTTACATGTATAAAATTGTAGGTAGCAAAAGGAGACAGGCTTTAAAAGTCTGTCTCCAAATCAGATATTTTGATGTGCTAGTTTCGCTACTACATAATAGAGGGCAATAAATTTAAAAGAAAACAGTTTTCTACAAACAAAATTTAAAAGAATTTTGTGCAGTGTTGCCAATGTGTAATTCATATCGTAATACTTCTGATAAAGCCTACCTTCAAATTTGCTACATCATTTAAACATATTAAAATAGATCAGAGCTGTTTTTTTCAGTTTGCCATGTTAGTTGGAATTAAATCTTATGAGCTAAATTACAATCACTTCCTGACGTTTGATTGTATAATTGAATCCTGAATTTTCATTGTAATTCGGCGACAATATAATAAGTATTGTTCTACTATTATGATACCACTTCCTGACGTTCGATTGTGTTCATACCAAGTTCATATTGTATAATCGGGAAAAAACGGCGTTAGCGATAGCTATGAAATTAATATCACTGTCATTTTATATGTAAATTTATATGGGAAATGTCATCGATTGTCCTTTTCCAGCCAACTGGACGCCGTTTTTTTCAGAAGCATATCAAGTGATACCATAATATAGTACTATATTACGATACATGGCGTTCGATTGGGATTAAACTTGGTATACTATATCTTCAGTGACATTGTAATATCATGGTACCATGGAGCATATAAAGTGGTACCTTCTATAGTACCATATTTGATGACATAGCAATATTAGGTACATGGCGACAATAGGGCTTAAACTTGGTATACTACGTATTTTCGGTGACATTGTAATATGATGGTATTATGATGCATATCATCTGGTACCATAATATAGTACCATATTATGTACATGGCGTTCGATTGGGCTTAAATTTGGGATACTACGTATTTTCGGTGACATTGTAATATGATGGTACTATGATGCATATAAAGTGGTACCTTAATATAGAACCATATTACGATACCATTTCCTGGCGTTCGATTGGGCTCAAACTTGGTATACTACGTATCTTCGGTTACATTGTAATATGATTGAACTATGATGTATATAAAGTGGTACCTTAATATAGTACCATATTATGATAACATTTCATGGCGTTCGATTGTTCTTAAATTTGTTATACTACGGATCTTCGGTGACATTGCAATATTATGGTACCTTAAAGTATATCAAGTGGTACCATAATATAGTACACTATTATGATATCATTTCCTGGAGTTCGATTGGGCCCAAATTTGGTATACTTGCGTTTCTTTATAAAGATTTGTTTAATTAATAATTTTAATTTATTTTACGAATTTTAATTTATTGTTCGATGTCGTGACAGCAACTTTTATGCCGAACTAATATATTATTAATTGTACCTGTGTCACTTTTTAAAATCTACCTAGGTCTATATAAATAATGTGGCAAACGGAAGAAATTTGTTATTATAGTATTTTTTAGTCAGTTAACATTTTTTGTACTGCATTTTAATAAATTATTTCCATTATTATTAAACTTATATTTCATTACTAACGTTCCAGCATTAATAAATATCACTATCAATCCCCCTGTATATTATTAATTTTAAAAGTAATTAAAGGTATTTTCTTAGTTAACATTATAAGGTATAGTGTATATTAAAAATGTATATGTTTTGTAATAATATACTTAAAACTATTTTAATAGCCAAAGGAATAATTAATATAAGTGTATTTGACAAGAAAAGAAGAATAGAAAGAAACACATATTGCATTATACACAATAAAAAGAATGGGATGCCAATTCAAGTCTTTTTGAATCTGGCAACTGTGCATATTTAGCCGAGCTATAAGGCCGTCGACGAGCCGTCGATCCAAAACCGAAAGTTCAAAATTTCTAATTATATTCTGATTATGATATTGTCGCGCCATCTAGTATTCTATTTGTGCAATTTTAGCTCTTTCATTTCAAGTATTTTTCTGTTGCGTAGCTAGATATTCTGTGATATCAGCTTCCTTCCGTTTCCCTTCCGTTTACATAAAATATTATATCATGTAAACGAATATGACAATGCACACTATCCGTTCCGTTTCCCTTCCGTTCCATATCCTTTCCTTCCATGCATATTTTTGGCGGACGGACTGAAGCGTATCGGAAACAGCGTTGTCAAGTTCTTACATTTGTACCCGCTCTGTTACAATTTTGCTGATATTTATTTATTCTTTCACATCTTAATTAACTCTATTACCTTTTTCAAAAGATACCAATTTAAAAAAAAAACTTTCGTAATGATATAAAGTGTACAATACAAAGTATGGAACTGATACGGAACGGAAGCTTACGTATAGCGTCAATACAATAAAAATACGGAACGAATATGGAATGAATATGGAATCGAAACAGAAGGTATAGTGAGAATCAACCTTTAAGAGTCCATGTTTCGCGCATAGGTCATGACTGGTAGTACACATTGGTGGAATGTTTTCTTCTTTAGATAAAGTGGCATTCTAGATTGATATATCATAATGTTAATAAAATATCCATATGTTTTTTTTGAAATATATTTATTAATTATTATAACAGAACAGATAATGAATTAAAGCTGCAAAAGCAAAATTTTTCTTTTTAACTACAATAAATAATGCAACAAATTCAGGTTTCTTCTTCTCTGCTTAATTTTATGCATATCTCACGGGATCTCATGATGAATATCAATTCTTCAAATAATTCTTGTTCTAGTTCGAAATTCTCCATATCTCTGGCCAGATATACCTCTATGCATTTCTAAAAAAAAAACAATTTTTATGTATAAAACTGTTTTTGTTTTGTCAGAAACAAATAGCTAGCGTTGTTTTGTTTACATCTGATTTGTACAGTGTCCGGCAATCTATAGCACCAATGTATTAGGATGTATTTCAGGAAAATAATTTAAACTCTACAGGGTGACTCAAAAAAGTGTGAGTGGAGCGGGGTGATTTTTTTTAAATGGAATATCCTGTATACTATTGCAATTTTGACTTCCTTTCCTGATGACTTTACATAATCCTAAGATATGATTTGATAACACGATTTGATAGTTTCAGAGATATTAATAAATAAATAAATATATTTCTTTTCAGCCTTTTCTAAAAGAATTATTAGAATACCAGAACTGTCCTGAAATCAAAACTATATCAGGTATTTACTTTACTTTGCTATAAATATCGAAAATCTTAAATCATACAGGATATTCAAAATTTACGCTAAACTTTCTAAAATATAAGATAATTTTTTTAAGTTAATATTTCAAGTGTCGTCTTGTATATTAAATAATTGTAACATACAAGACGACGATTTATTAATCAGCTTCTCAATAAACAATTCTAAAAAAATATGACGTTAAAAGATTTATGTGGACAGGTAATCTCTTTTATTTAAATCATCACCCTTTTTAAGTCATTATTGGAACTAATGGAATACCCAATAAAATAAATGCCATCAGTTTTCTATGAATTTAAATCAGAAACATATTTTGAAGAAAACCTTTCGTGCGCTATTGTGTCTTTGAAAGGCAGAGTTCAAGGTCTCACTTGTGGTACTCGTAATTGCGCTGTATTATAATTTAGTGTGAATATAAGTATAATAATGTAGGTACCGATAGAGAGGGGTTTTAATTAACAATGGGTATTTTTTTAACCCAGACACTAATGTTACACGAAATAGATGACTATTTTAATAATTATTCAAAATGTTTTTTTCTGTCTTGGCATTTTTTATAAAATTTCAAACTTTGATGAATTTATTTTCTAACGTTGATTTTCCAATCTATACCTGAACTACTGAAAATAACTATTGCATATAATATCGCACATTATACATGGTGGCGCACCGCATTTGCCTCGCTTGATTATACGAAAACGAAAAGATGTCAAAATATTTTATAGGTATATATGGGAAGGCAATGTGCATAATTTAAAATTATTTTGAAATGTACAGGGTGTGTCAGAACTAAGATCCATACCAAAGTAAATTTTTTTTTATGGAACACCCTGCATTTTATTTCATTTTTAGATTCCTGGACATAAAATAAGGCATTTATTATAAGGGTTTAATATGTTTAAAAGCTTTGGTTTTTGAGATATTTAAAGATATTTAAATATGCATGCCATAATCAAAAAGTTTGTCAACACCTTATACATTACTTTTCACAATTAATTCTTGTGCTGAGTTTCAAGGCAGAGAAATAAACTTTACTAAAAAAATTGATTGCTTCCTTAAGTGTATACAGGGGTATCAAAAATTGCTGGTCTACTTTAAATATTTATTTTACATAAAAACTTCGTTATTTCAAATGCAACACTATGCATTTTTTAAATAAGTCGAAGCAGATTTAAATGCTCTTTCAAACTATATTAGGGTTTCCTATACCTATCTGGCTCAGATTTTGAATAAAAAGCGATTTTTCAATTAAATGGCCATCATGATGGCTGGTGTCGTCATGGAAATTTGCTAGTGACAGTTAGTAGCTATTTTCAAAATCGACATTAGTTTATGGACTTTATTTAAATTTATATAACATGTTATTTTCATTTAATTTACCTGCAATAAGGTTAATGAGTAAGTATTTATTATTTTATCAAGAAAAATGAAGCAGTATCTGCTGGCGGAAGGAATGGATATGTTACTAGTGATTTTATTTTGTGAGAACACACAAACATTGTGTGAGGACACATATTTACTGTGGACTGAAGGGTTTATGCTCAAAGATATCCAAATAGGATTTTTTTTGACAAGTGTTCCTTCGAAATACTACTTTTTCTATTTGGCAGAGCTGATAGTGTGGTATATGAAAAACCTATTAGGCAGAAACCTGTTATTGGAATTGAAGAAAATGAATTTGCCTTAATTGGTTCTTTTATAGATAATCGAATATATCTACAAGTCATCGTAATATAAATAAAAAAAAACTATTTCTTTATTTTTCTTGATAAAATAATAAATACTTACTTATTGAACTATTGTAGGTAAACTAAATAAAAGTAAATTGTTATAAATTTAAATAAAGTCCATAAACTAATGTCGATTTTGAAAATAGCTACTGTCACTAGCAAATTGCCATGGCGACACCAGCCATCTTGATTGCCATTTAATAGAAAAATCGATTTTTATTCAAAATCTGAGCCAGATAGGTATAGAAAACGCTAATATAGTTTGAAAGAGCATTTAAAACTGCTTCGACTTATTTAAAAAAATACATAGTGTTGCATTTGAAATAACGAAGTTTTTATGTAAAATAAATATTTAAAATTGACCAGCAATTTTTGATACCCCTGTATACATTAAGGAAGCAATAACGTTTTTTAGTAAAGTTTATTTCTCAGGCTTCAAAGTGAGCACACGAATTAACTCTGAAAAGTAATGTACAGAGTGTGGACAAACTTTTTTATTATAGCATGCATATTCAAATATCTTTAAATATCTGAAAACCAAAGCATTTAAACATATTAAACCCTAATAATAAATGCCTTATTTTATGCCCAAGAATCCAAAAATGAAGTAAAATGCAGGATGTTCAAGAAAAAATATAACTTTGGTATGGATCATAGTTCTGACACACCCTGTACATTTCAAAATAATTTTAAATTATGCACATTGCCTTCCATATGCCACATATGCCCATAAAATATTTTGTGTCTACATCTTTCCGTTTTCGTATAATCAACCGAGGCGGATGAGGTGCGCCACCCTGTATATATACGAGAGTTTGGATACTCTAAAGCCGATTATTTAGTTGAAAAAGTAAAAACAATACATTCTTATAGAGCCGATCGGCCAACTAACTGATTGCATGTGAGCGCGACCACTACTAATAAGGTGACAGGTATTGATGAGATCACAGGGCAAACTCTTAAAGAACTAGGCGACGAGGGAGTTAATATCATACATACGATATGTAATCTAATATGGAAGACCGGGATCTGGCCTAAAGCGTTGTTTATGGGACAGAAAATAGCGTATAATATAAAATTCGAATTAAATAATACGACTAATTCGAATTAAATAATACGACTAAGATATTTATTACAATGAGAGAGTGCTTGCCAATGACCAACTAAATGGATATTTGAGGTGAATTTGCATTGTGAGACCCGGTTGAGTAAGCCCCAAAAATAAGCGATTTTACACGATAGTAAATTAAAACTAACTAATTCAAATTATCTTTTTCGATATAATCGAGATAAAAATTAGTAGTATTTTATATTATATCTGTGGTAACCGAATTACAAATGAACATAAAACATTAACATAGAACATAAAACTCTTATGGACGAATACGAATATTAGTAATTAGTATAGTACTATTAGTAGTATTCTTTCGTTCTGAACGAACTGAAGATTTTCACTTAAACTGATTTATAAAGGGAATCGACAAAGAAAGGAACGATCCAATATAGAAAAATCTAGAAATCATTGTTATTTCCTATACCACGTAGGAATAAATCAGTTTAAGTGAAAATTTTCATTTCGTTCAGAACGAAAGAATACTACTATTATTTGGTTCATTTCCATCTCACCCAAATTTCACCGAACACCTGCCGAACACTAAAATTAATTTTCTTCTTTTATCTAAATAATTATTGATTGCAACTGATAAAATAAAAAGAAATACGAACCGCATGTAAACAAGGACATACCTACTTATATCGTTTTAGATTATTTTAGATATGAGCTTTTCAATAGGAATTGAAACAATCATAAACTAGGAACTTTTAAATTTAAAACTTTAAATTATGGCTCAATTTATTAAACGGCTTCGGCACAGTTAATAGAATACATTGAATAAAGAATGTATTTTTTTATTTTTTATTCAGTGATAGAATATAGGTATGGCAATGGTTCAGAATTTGTTTAAAATAGCCCCTAGACGAGCACTAGCTGGGACGAATTTATTTTTAGATTAAATTTATAATACTACTAAATAATTCGAATTATTAATTCGATTGTGAAATATGAATTATTACTAATTATTCGATGGTGAAAATAATTCGATTATTCCCATCACTAATATATAATACCACGGGATAGAAAATTGAGATAGAACTTGCTAGGGTAACTTGCGATAGTGTTTACATTTAAGCAAATGTTAAAGCAATTTCTTGCAACAAGTACTTTCTAGGCATATGCTTTGAGCAAGAAATTGCATGCACGTATACACGGTATGGTGTAGATTGCACAAGTATATTGTTTAGTAGAAAAATGTCGCGCCGTAAAGTGAGCTGCAGCCATTGCTCTTCTTGTTGCAATTTTACGCAAACAGTCAAGAAAATCTAGAAAAAGAATATGGGTTAAAGAATGGATTGCCAGAAGGCCTAGTCTTGGAGCTTACGCGATGTTATTAAAAAAATTAAGAAATGAAGACCCAAAGCATTTAAACAATTTTCTGCGAATGTCAGAAGTCGATTTTACTTTTTCTTTTTATAATTTTGTTCCACTCCCGGTTTGCTTGGGTACGAATATTATGTAGCTTCCGCTGAATCTCAGCCTCAGTTGTGTTGAATTTGTCAGCTATAAATTTGATTGCTTTTTGCATTTCAGCTCTATCTCTGTAAATTTTCGATTTTTTTTGCCACAATTCCGGAAATCCTTCAAATAAATTAATCAAAGTGGTGGTATCTTCTTTCGACCACATACGTTTCTCCATTTTAGTATCGTTATTTAACACGCCTTCGAAAATCACTTGCACCAAAAACTTTCAACAAAAGGGAAATAAATTTTAACTTGCTAAAGCGCTCTCCCAACCTGTTTACACTTGCAAGCGTCTTTTGTCGCAACCACTTCCCCGCCAGTTTTGTGACTTTCTGGGAGAGTGCTTTCGGATACTGTTTACATTATGCAAGTTTGGTAGAAGTGTTCTCAGACATATACTTGCGATTATTTACTTGCCTGTGTAAACTACTCTTAAAGACTCCACTGCATAAGAAAGGCTCTACTTGAAAATGTAATAACTATCGCACAATTTCGCTGCTATCACATACAAGCAAAGTGCATATACATATTATTATAAATAATCGACTTAGGAACTACGTGGACGGCAAAATTGCAAGAGAATAAGCCACATTGAAGGGTAGAGGCACCCGAAATCAAATTGTTAACGTTAGACAAATGATAGAAAAATACTGCGAATATGATATCCCCATGGTAATGTGCTTTATAGACTACTACTTTCGACTTTTTCAACTGGAATACGTTATGGGAATTACTAAACCAAATGGGCGTTCAAGATCACTTAACGAACTTAATCAAAAATCTTTACTTGGAAAGTACCGTTGTAGTCAAAATAGAAGATATGATGAGTCAAGACTTCCACCCACAAAGAGGTGTGAGACAAGGGTGCGTTTTATCACCTACACTATTTAACGTATATGGCAAAACTATAATGAGGAACTTTCTAGATGAGTGGGAGGGTGGAACTCTTCTCGAGGGAGATCGAATAAGCAACTTACGCTATACTGACCATATTTGCTGCAGCGGAGGAGAAATTGGCGGTTCTCTTAAACAGAATCAAAAAACAACACAATTCTCATAAACAGAAGAAGAAGAAGAGACTGGAAAGTTTGCTCTAACAATAAACAGAACCAGAGCAAAACTAATGATATTTGATAAGCCTAACGTGGTAAACAGGACTCACCTGCTTGACAATCTCGAAAGGGTAAGCAGTTTTATATATCTGGGGTCAATAATAAGCAACATGGGCGGATGCGTAGAGGAAGTTAAAAATAGAATAGCCTTGGCCAAGAGTGCGATGCTAAGACTTCCCAAAATATGGAAAAGCTCATATTTAACCAAAAACACTAAAATGAATCTCGTCCAATCTTCTCATACAGCTCAGAATCGTGGACACTTAGAGTTAAAGAACGCAAATATATTGATTTCTTTGAAACGTGCTGCTACAGGAGATTTTTTTCGTGTGTACGAAGAGTACGGTCAACACGCTTTTAGCAAAATAAGATATACTGAATAAAAGCAGAAGGCAAGTATTTTCCCAAGCGCATGGAATCTAGCGTTAGATTAAATGTTTATATAATAAATACTTCGTATTTTTGCTCTCTCCGACTTTCTAGATTGCCATAGAGATTCACTTCTATACATCTAAACGCCGACCCAAGGTTTCGCTTGCCAGCAGGGTATATGAATTAATGCTATAAAATGCATGCTGTTAATTCTAACGAGTAAAATTTATATATACCCTCATGAGATTCTCCGGATGGTCGATGTCTTCAATCCAAATTTCATCAGCTTTAATGGTCATATCTCTGAGCACCGAAAGAATAATCATGAAATAGATAAGATACATTCCAAGAATTCTGTAAACAAGTATTAATTTTTAGTTAAAAGGTTTTTGGAGCAAACCAACAGTATCTAGATTCATAACTACGAAAAGAATTCGAGAAATAAGATTTCCTTACTAGTAACTAAATTTGATTTCAAATCTACGAGTAGTACCTACCCGCTTCCTGTAATGTATGAAACTGTTGATGAGAATACTTTGTCATTGAAAACGTAAATCGTCGGTTCCTTACAGCTATTGTGGACAAGATCTTTAAGATAGTACTGGTAGTTTTGATCGTAAGCTTCACACGATTCTTGTATTTCCCACCTAAAAAATAATTACTGCTATATGCAATAAACAATACCACATATACATATATAGTATTATTTTTTGGAATCCGAGGAACTAATATATACAGGGTGGGCCACTGAAAACTTACAATGGCTATAATTTTTAAACCAAAAAAGATATCAAAAAAATAAAAAATACCGTTTCTATAATATCGAGGAGGAATACATATGACGTATTTTTTGAACCACCTAACCCTTAGGAGGCACCTGAACTCACTTGAAAATCTTAAATGGCAACACCCCACTTATGGCGTCTTTTTGGTAAGCTCATAAAAAATGCTAAATGATGATCATAAAGTTTTTAGGGTGAAATTGAAAAACTACCCTTACACGAACAATTAGGTGGACATTAATGAAAAAGGTGATTTTTTCAGCATAAGTTACAAATTGGGACCCAGCTAAATGACGCAAATGAAGTATTTTTCAAACCATCCCAACCCACCCCTAGGTGGCACCCTCACTTCTAATCTCAAGATAGCGATACCCCACTTGTGACACTTATTTGGAAAGCTAATTGAAATTGCTAAAAGATGGTCCTACAGACTTCAACTTAATTACTGGTTAGTGAAAAGAAATGTAGGTGTGACAATTTGAAAGAAATTTAAAATCATAATTTATTTTAATAATTGCTTAAAATGACAGCCGTTTTGTTCCATACAAAAATACAAATGATTTTCAAATTCTTCTCTCACTTTTTGGAAAGTCTCTCTCGGAATATTTCGACATGCTTCAGTTCTTCTCTGTCGCAATTCTTGCAGCGAACCTGGTTTTGTCTTGTAGACTATGGATTTAGTGTAACCCCACAAGGAAAAGTCTAAAGGAGTGAGATCAGGTGACCTTGGCGGCCACTCGATTAGACCCCTTCTGCCATCTGAATCCATTGCCTTGGATAATACTTATCCAACCACCGCCTTGTGACAATAGAATAATGCGAAGGGGCTCCATCTTGCTGAAAGTGTATGAGGTCTTCATTAAGAGTTATAATAAATTTCTTTGTACCAGCTTTTTTTCTCGCAATGGTTCATGGATACAAAAATAATTCATTCTATTGATTTTGACACGTTTTGACATTTTTGTTTTATTTTTAGGCTCTATTTTTTTCGTTCTTTTTTATGACACTCGTTCAGCATTTTTTATACGCTTTCCAAAGAGGTGTCACAAGTGGGGTTGTGGAGGTGTCACAAGAGGTGTCACAAGTTCTATCTTGAGGTTAGAAGTGAGGGGGTGGCACCTATGGGTGGGTCAGGGTAGTTTGAAAAAAACCTCATTTAGCTGGGTCCCAATTTGCAACTTATGCTGATAACAATCACTTTTCTCATTAATGTCCACCTAATTTTTCGTGTAAGGGGTAGTCTTTCGATTTCACCCTAAAAACTTTATGATCATCGTTTAGCATTTATCATGGGCTTTCCAAAAAGGCGCCACAAGTGGGGCGTTGCCATTTAAGATTTTTAAGTGAGTAGTGGTGCCGCCTTAGGGGTAGGTCGGGGTGGTTCAAGAAATACGTCATATGTATTCCCCCTTGATATTATAGAAACGGTATTTTTTATTTTTTTTATATCTTTTTTGGTTTAAAAATTATAGCCATTGTAAGTTTTCAGTGGCCCACCCTGTATATGAGATATGGACTTAATGTGCAAAATCTGCATCCTTAAGAATATTAATGGAATTTTAAACTGACACTTTTCATACAGTCCTCGTGGCATATAGAGATTGCATTTTTTTAAGTTTGTCTTGGACCAACTGTAGGAGAAAACACCAATGTTATGTGCAGAGATGAAGCTGTAACTATAGATAAATGAAACAAGTTTAGATTGTGTACCCATAAGGACAATGTAAATACTATTTGGCGCTATTCTTGTAACGGTCGCGACCCAAAGCTTTTGATAATTTCGGAGCGGTTCGGCTTTTTTCCGGAATTATGTCGCCAAATATTATTTATTCAAATTTATTATTATTTTTTTTGAATTTTATAAATAAAATACAGTGTGTGTAAATATCTAAAATATATTAAAAAAACTATAAAAAACAGCAGTTTGAAGCAAAAAAATAATTACCATAATACCTATTTTTAATTATCTACACTTTTCCGCAACTATCACGGGTAAATAAATAAAATTCAAATTAAACTGCAATAATAACTTTGAAAAAGAACGCTTTAAACAATTTTCGGTTTTTTTTCAATGTGGGCGGTTTAAATTTTTTTTAAAAGACTTTGACAAGACTGACTTCTTTCTGTCCTTGTTTAGGATTGTTCTTAGCAACCGCTATAGCAGCTATAACTATTAAAAGTTTTGAGAAACATTCCAATCTAAATTTATCTCATTTATCTATGGATGTAACTGATTTAGGTTGACAAAGTTGACATATTAAATGGCATTCTATTCATAGTGTTATTTTCTATCGAATGAAGTAGAAATATACCGAGGGTGTTACTTAAAAATCCAAAGTTGTGGCCATTTCCGGTGAAACAAGAAGTGACCCAAAAAAATTGAATACGTCAATCAATCCTAATTTATGTCATTTATAGATATATTAACATACCAAATCTCGTTTTTTTTCGAAGCGCTCTGAATGCTGGAAATAAAGGGTGTTCCAATACTCCGTGGACATAGAACTACTGAATATTTTTAGAATCAAAATAAGTTCATTGGACACAATTTACCTCCATATAAAAAGTGCTTTGTTTATCCGACAGAGGGCATCAAACTCCAAAAAAAATAAACTCATTTTTTAAGATATTTTAAGGACCGCTATTCCGATTTGAATAATATTTGATATGTCTATGTTTTGTTAAGTGCTTTAACATTCGATTTGATTGATGCCCTCTAACGGACAAACGAGGCACTTTTGTAATATTAGGCGCATAGAGAAGGTTTTCGAATGTTCTCGTATGTACTAGTCCATTCTAGTGGGTCTCGATTCTTCTCGAACGAATGAATCATTGCGGTATCTATGCGATGTTAAGGTCATCCGAGGGCGGGCCATATTGTGAGGTTAGGTCGAGTCCACACCGGCTCGCAACAATAGGTATGTCCATGAATATTGGAACGCCCTGTATTTTTCGTAATTTCGCTTTGGAATCTTAAAGCTTTTACAAGACACAATAAATATAGTAAATACTAGGAGGAATATTTTACGAAAAAAAATCACGCGTCGGTGGAGTCTAAAAATATTTGTACTAAAATTGGAGGAATGGGGAAAATAGTGTATCGTTGGCGTAGTGATATTATCTTTGTAGATACGTTAGTGTTTTCTCTGTGTATAATATGATTTTACCAAGATTGTCCGTTTTCTCGTTGCAGCCCTATCAATAAATGTCGGAATCCAACTGAACCAGCTGTAAGTTCGTCTACTGTTTCATCGTTTTCGTCAATCATAAACCTCGTAAATTTTTTATCTAAAATATCCATAATTAAATTTAATGTTAAAAACAATAGTCCAGGAGGCAGTGAAAATTTTCGGTACTCATTTTCCCAGGCAGCAAACACCGAATGTATTATTCGGTATGTTATTCTAAGCAAATTCATTATATATTTAGGGTGGGGGGTTGACTGAACGACTAGTGAGGCCTCTACGGATAGAGCTCGTGGAGCCCGTGGAGCCCGTGGAGCTCGTGGAGCCCTACACTAGCCCCATTTAAACTGTTCCAAAAAGGCACAGTTTCCCAGATATTTAATTTGAAAGACTTCGATTAACGGTTTTCTGGATATACACCTTTGAAAAAAAAATGGATTTTTTTGTTTATTAACTTTTTCTACTTTTCTCATTTGGTATGGTAAGAAGACGTTAATGTAGGAATTTGAAATGCAATTTAATCCCGTTTTTAGGTTATGTTGCATATTTAAAAAATTGCCGAAAATGAAAAAAAAATCGTTTTTTATATTTTTTCTTACCCTGTATGTACTTTTTTGACAAACAGGACTTGATTTTCATGCATCCGTTGTCCAACGATACGATGATACGATATTAATTTTATTGGTTGAATTTAAAGACTTCAATTGGTTAGAAAATTACGCAGTTTTTAAATTTATTGCATTTTCAAGCCCCGTTCGTCGGATATACGATTTGCTTGTGATTGGTGTCATTTTATATTTTCATTTCCATAACGATTTCTGTTTTATTTATAGTCTAAGAGTTACCAACGTTTTCGAGGGAGAATTTTAAGAAAGCTGGTTCTTTAATATAATATCTTTTACTAAGCTCTCCTGAATGGAGTGCAGACCTTTCGGCTAACGGTAGACGTTGCGTTCACTACTGCGCATCATGTCTGTATTCAACATCTGTTCACTACTGCGCATCACAAATTCGCGGTGTATTTCAGGAACTAAGGAGGCTAGGACAAACCTATGTGTAGCATATTTGGTTTCATAAAAAAGTAGCAAAGTAATGTGAAAATCGCACCATTGTATCTCTACTCATAAACGAGAAATTTCATGAAACACACAAAAGGGGATACCCTGTACAAATGTGATGCGCAGTAGCGAACCGCAGTAGTCTACCAGCAGCCAAACGGTCCGCACTTTGTTCAGGAGGGCACAGGAGAGGATATATTAAAGAATTGTTTTCTTAAAATTCTTGTTTCCCGACGATGCTAGCTTTTGCTAGCATCGTTGCTATTATATTTTTATTAAAGTTAGATTAAATTTGTCAAAAAAGTGCCAAAATTCCCGTTATCGTACGCATGCCTAGGAAAACTCTTATGGAAGTGACAGGTTGTAGCCTATAGTCCATTACTAGAGGCACGAGGGGGCGCAATTAGTAACAAAATTTTATAAAATATAAATTTTTACCTGTTTTTACCGTCAAATGTAAAATTTAACCTGTCAACAGTTGTCAATCTATATTTTATTTTGTCCGCTATCCATAGATTGTGTTTTAAATTTGTTTTTGATTTGTATAACGGCTCTGTTCTTGTGTTTTTTCATATTTTTTTAAACGTAGAAAATGGTTTTTAAGTGTTGTGTTACTGACTGTAAGGATTACCAAAAAGATACTCAAATGCATATGTTTCCGAAGGATCAAATTGTAAGTGTTAGCACGTGTTACCTAACCGGACGAAATGTATTGAGTTTCCTATCTATTTTATGTATTATAGTATCTTATCTATGATCGTACGACCTTTCTCCGTTGACGGGCTGGAGTAAAAAATTTACGGTTGAAAAGTGGAGCAAAAACGCTATGACCACGGGGGTGTCACTTGTATGGGAAAATAGGCAACAGTCAAATTTAAACGTGCCAGGATAAACGACAAAGAAAGCAACATTTGCCAGGCATTGGCTTTCTTTGTCACTCACATTGCTTAAATCATGATACCGCGGCCATTTTGTCAACAAAGAAGCTGGCCGGCTGTCCTGGCAAGTGATTTAAAACAATTTTGCTTTTTACAATATTAAATTACCATTTGGATGTATTTAATGCGATTATTCAATTAACTGGTAAGTCAGAAATTACACACAAATACTTTATTCGTAAATACAACTAAGATGTAAACGTAGTTTTGTATTTTTAGATTTCAACTTTTGCAAAGACCCGCCGATAGAACTTGCCTGGCAGCGTACCTGTTTAACTAAACGTATTATTTCCTGAAAATAATATCAAAACACGTAAGTACCTCTATAATTTATGATGAAAAATGATTTTGATTATGTTTTATGTTATTTAAATACTTTCTAACCTCAAATAATAGTAAGATCCTTGTTTATATCGCACAGCCCGTTCAAAACTGTATTGTCTTCAAAAAATGTTAACAAAAAGAAACAATTATTACAAAAACAATATCCTTTTAATCTGATTTATACCTCAGAAGGATGCCAGTAAAATTTTATTAAATCAACATTATATTATTTGGCTATTAATATGCAAAAAGGAGCATATTGCCTTAACTTAAATTTTCTTTTACTTCTGTTGACAATGTTCTCTATATTCTCTATTTTAGTTAGTAAACTTTTGAACAGGATGTGCGATATATAAAATACATAATATATCCAAGGGTATGATCTGATAAAAGTATTTTTTGATGCATTTTTTGGTTGTTTATGCACGTTGGCTTGGTTTATGTTTTATTAACCTTATATTTATTTGGTATAATAGTTTTTTTTGCCTTTGGAATGGCATGCATTGAGGCTAGATAGTGTTTGATTAGATCATTAAAGGAATTTAAATTTGCACATATTTTTTGTGATATTAGTGAGTTATTATGATACAACTACTAGGTAGTTGTATCATAGTGCCTTATTATTTACCTATTATATACTTATGTATTATCACTGATAACATACTACTAAAATGTATTTTTAATAGATGTTTATCTTTCCAATTCACTAGTTATTTGCAAAATGTATTTTTAACTAATTTAAGTCATTAATTGACCATCTTTCTTTTTCAGGTTCCCGGATATTCTTTTTCATTGTTAAAAAAATACATATATTTCAATATTATTATAATATAAATCCCAGCTCTAAAAAATAAATGATATTGTTTACTAAATGTGTAATTTATTTACTATAAATTTTCTCTGAAAATAATAAGTCTTTAATAATATCATTGATTTGCTGTGTAAAGTTCATAGACATATTTTTTAATACATTAAATTATATTAAAGTAATAAAAAATATGTTTATTAACTTTAAACAGTAAGTCCGTGATACTTATAAAAATATTTTTTTAAAAATTTCTCCTCTTTTAAGCCTCGCCCCTCCAATTCCCCTCAATTTAGCTAGTACTGCCAGGCGACACCAGGTGGCCTCTGTTTCCATTTTTTAACATGAAGTTAGCATTTCTTTAATGTACCTATTCTCTGGCTATGACCAATCAGAGTGCCATCGGACCATAGTATCAACGTATAACGGATGCATGAAAATCAAGCTTTATCATTCTCACCTCCGTGCAGGGGTTCCATAAGCGGAACGCTTTCCGGTATTCCGTCCTTATCGATGGAAATAAATTTCGGAAAAATAAGCGGTATCCAAAGCGGTTCGGTCGCTGTCTCGGTCATCATCATGTTTACAAGCGCTTCGCGTTGAAGCGCTACAAATGGAGCGGACGTTTGTTCAAAGATTTTTTCTTCTTTGCCGCACTCCTCGGAGTTACTTTCGTGTACATATTCGATGACGAGACGGACAGTAAAAGAATCGACTGAAATAACGAAGAGAGAAAACTGTCAATAATTTAGTTAGATACAGGGTGATAAATTCTTTTGGCCAGATTTACACCCCATTAAAAAGTTTCTATCGATAGGTTATCGATTTCTGTAATCTAAAATATATCTGCCATTTTTTTGGAGATAAATTCAACATAATATAATGGACAAGTAACTGTATACATACATGTTTTGACTTGATCGATGAGACTCGTGTATCCTTTAGGCGATATGTCCCAGTTTTCCGAACTGTAACTTGTCCATTTGACAACGACGACGTCTTCCGGTTCATATTTATCAAAAATATCTTTAGAGGTCTGGATGTTGTTGAATGTTCTGGATATATTTTTGAAATCGTCGTGTGACATTCTACAAGTAAATTAATCAAATATTTTTGTTCCAACTCAAAGCGCCATAAATAGAGAGATGTAGGAAGTTGTCCACCTGATAGTTCAGTCATTGGGGATTTTTGCTTGGAAAAAAGTCCGGTAGTTTTGCAACTCTGCAGGTTTATAAGTTTTGGGGTCCCTAACTAAAATCTATAAAATGCACATTTCCAGACTTGCCGCCGGCGCCGTCATCTTGCCAAGATGGCGCCCAAAATCGATGTTTTGTAAATATCTCGAAAACTATGCGTTTTTCGCAAAAATTTGAGGAGAGCAAAATTAAAGAGAATAAAATTTCCTATAAAAAGGTTCTACGAAAATTTTCCCTAAGTCAACCGTTTAGGCACAAAATCACTGGAAATTTTACAATTTTATGTAAAATATGATATATTATGTATAGTCGATTTTCCGAAATCAAATGTCGATTAGGGTTCACTAAAACTAGTTTTAGTTTAGTTTCTTTAATTTTGTCATGAAACAGTGGCGTATTATTAATTCGCTCATTAATTTATGAATAATTAATTTTAATTATTGAAAATGTGTACTTGTTTCCACACCACCCAAGAGGTAAAGTCATGGGGCGTTTATTTTAATGTGGTCTCCCTGGAGGCCTATTCCACTAGGTAAATTAAAAACTTTAACTTATCTGCACAAGACCTGGCTCTTTGATGTAGAGTCGATCGTGTCTGCTGTGCTGGGCTCATCAGGGTGGTCTCTCAATTCGTCCAACTCTTCCCCTTCAGCCGCCAGAGGGATAACTACAGGCAAGTCCAACTCCTCTTCATCGAATTCGTCAAGTGACACTTCAGTGACGTTGTCACAGGATTTCCCGTTGCAGTATGCACAAATCATTGGTCATTTTAATCCTGCTTTTCTGCATCCGCAGGCTTTACCACAGTTGTTGGTTTTGCATTTACAGGATAAAAATGCTAATAGGGATTTTGGAGCTGGATCTGTCAACGTTGTGACTGGAGTAATGCCTGTTTTTGTTTTCTTTCAACCCGTAACATTCTTCGGCATCTTTGGTACAACCAGACCAATGCTGAACCTGGTGGTAAGTTCGCAATGAATGCTGTCCAGCACAACAATTAATTATTCATAAATTAATTATTATTATATTAAACGAATTAATGATATGCCACTGTTTTATGACAAAATTGAAAAAACCAAACTAAAACTAATTTTAGTGAACCCTAATTGACATTTGATTTCGGAAAATCGACTATACATAATATATCATACTTTAAGCAAAATTGTAAAATTTACAGGGATTTTGTGCCTAAACGGTTGACTTTCGCGAAAATTTCCATTGAACCTTTTTTAAAGGAAATTTTATTGTCTTTAATTTTTCTCTCTTCAAATTTTTACGAAAAACGCATAGTTTTCGAGATATTTACAAAATACCGTTTTTGAGCGCCATCTTGCCAAGATGGCGGCGCCGGCGGCAAGTCTGGAGATGTGCATTTTATGGATTTTAGTTAGGGACCCCAAAACCTCTAAACCTGCAAAGTTTCAAAACTTCCGGACTTTTCCAAGCAGGCCCCTTTTTTGATCCCCAATGACTGAACTATAAATACTGCAGTTTATTATAACTCTATGCATAAACAACAGACAGAAAAACTTTCAGGCAGAAATCTACGCTATCGAAAGATGCGTACAACTTATCTTAGGGCTCTAAAGCTTCATTCAGAACCTCGAAATCAGTGGAATAAATTAGTAGTTTCAATTAGCGTAGAAGTTTGTTCGTCTAATTTTAATGTAAGCATTCAGAACGTCATAATTAGTGGTAGTAATTTTCAATTAGTGGAAAAAGTTAACAAACTTTTGACTTTTCCACTAATTATACTTCAAAATTCGCGAGGAATGTCATTTTCGCCTTTGATTATCACCCGTCAAGAAAAATTTTGGTTAGAAATCAAAAGTTTATTGTTTTATAAGCTAAATATTATGCTTTCTCTAGGGATACAACAGACTACCGCAAGCTGTTGCTAGGATATTTTATTAATTTTAATTGTGTTTTTTAAACATTGTGAATGATCGTAAACTAAAAAGTATAAAGTGTAATTGAAACCAGTAATTTATTCCACTAATTGGGAAGTTCTGAATGAAGCTTAACTCACAGAACACACTAAAGAAGAACGCTAACTCCCATGCATTTTTTAGTTTCAAAACGGTTTCAAATTTGTAAAGAAATCTGTAATCTGTATATTGAAGTGGCGCCATCTAGCCACCCAGGAAAGTAACAAAGGAGGCGGCAAATTTAAATAGATGCAATTTATTTTTAAGCAAGACGTATGACTTGTTCGCCAGTTAGAGCCAATCAGGTTTCTACAAAATAATGTGTAGTCATCTGATTGGTCCCAAGTTGGCAAACAAGTCAAATGGTAAAAAACAAGGATTTATATATAAAGGTTAAACCAGGTTAAACTATTGTAAAGTGTTAAATGGTTTGCTTATATCATTAATATATGTGCATAAAAACCTACAATAAATAATTTATTTTAATTTACAGAAAATTATACCATAAAACATTTTACAAACAAATAAAACAACAGATTAAAAAGTATAATATTTATTATAGTACCAGATTTAAGAACACAACAAATATCGTTGGAATACAAGAGAAAGTGACGTCCATTAGAAACAATGTTTTATTTACGTGTATTTTTTACATTATGGACTTGAACAATTGTGTAATATCACATTGTGGAATTTATGTACAAAAATATGGAGTTAATCAATTTTTTTTTGTAAAAATATATGGCGTTGTAAATATTACATTGTTAAAAAATAAAATTCACGAACATTTGGACTTGGTTAGGTTACCTCACCTCGCTTTCTCGGATTATTAAATAAAATTGTTAGATAAATCAAAGACCTTTAATTTAAACCTTACCTTTAATAAAGATCTTAAAAATCAAACACAAAACAAAGTTCAAAAAAATTCAAAAATACAAAATCACGATTGTAAAATAAAGATTGCAAAAAACACAGTCAAACAACCAGAAAACAGCGAAACGCACATCTCCGTTCAATTGCAAAACACAACTGAAGACAGCTGAAGAGGAAGGAGGAAGCCGGAAACGGAAAACTGATTTGACATACAAAACAATGACAGAACATAATTAATAGGCCTATTTAGGCAACTATAAAAACAATTTTGTACGCAATTGTTAGGCAACTAGAAAAATTAAAATAAAAATACGCCATCTAGCGCCCCAGGAAATTACTACCCCAAAAAAAGATCGTTCAAGGTCGTATATCTCAGTTGACTGGCCCTGCCTGGCCGTCGCCGTCGGCTGGCCGGATGTATTGCGTTTATAGCAGATGAACGACCAGTTTCAACAGAGTTGTCAGATCTAACGATTTTTACGTTTTACCAATTAGAAAATATTGTTTCAGAAATGTTAAAATATCCGATTTAACTAAAAAGCGAAGTTGCTATTCATGAGCTTATTAAATGTTCTAATATTAAATAATGCATTTAAAATATTCTTGGATTTTTCGTTAATAAATACTGGTGTGGTAAATGGAGTAAGTAAAATCTCCAACCCCGACTACACGATAATGTCGTTATTTCCATGTTTTTCAAATCCGCGATGCCTGCTATTCCATCAATCGTTTCATAACAGAATATTCTACATCCTACGTCTATGTAATTTAATATGCATAGAGTAAGACATGTAACTCGTGAGATTTTCAGCATTATATCAATAAAGGACAAAAACAGTATTGTTCCTAAAGGCGCGTCCAGACTTTGGCATTTTAGCCCGAACGAACCGAGCGCGCACGAACAAGCAGAACAAATAGGCCGAACAAAAAGCATTGTGTACGCGCGACCGACAAAAAGGGAGATATTCTGTTTCTTTTTTCTACTGATATGGACTTCTACTGATACAATACAACTAAAAATAATAATTTAATAAAAAAAAACAAGTGGTTGGTTAAGTTGATCATTTCCGATGAAATACGTGCGTATACAGGGATGGGAGAATGGGTGTAGAAAGGGGACAAACATAAAATGCCTCACAGGTCGCAATGTTTCGGACATAGGACGGCATTTTACTATTGGAAAAAAAATTGATTGATTAAAAAGTACTGGTGTTGATTTAGGGCCTTTAGAATTGGGAAAATACGCAACCTGATGGGCAACTTTGTCACAAGGCTGTTTGATTTCCCCTTACGTTTCAAGTGCTCTGTACGATGGAGCTACTAGTCTTTTTGCAGCCAACGCCTGAAACACTCATTTTCTCTAATTCGGTGAGCGAAGGCGTATCGAAGACGGTGTGGAACCGAAAGCGACAGTGTTGCCATATTAAAATGTGTAATATCTGTAATACGTTTGACGAAAATATCTTTGGACGAAAAATCCGCATTTATGTATTGAACATTTATTCGTATTAAACATAAAATAATCAACAAAAATAAAAATTCTTTTATAGGTACTGAATATTTCGAATTATCGAAAAAAGTCGTTTAGCTAGCTTGGAAATGACGACTATTGACATTTACCATTATATTTTACATATGAAATAACAGCGATGATTTCATGTCCAAGCCAAATCTGACGCTGTTCTTTGCTTAATCATATAATATTATATTAAATAATTATTTAATGATAAAAAAATACGTATTATTAACGTACTATACCCAAAATACGTAAATCTACAGATTAATCCTTAATTCTAGTAACACTGTCTCCGGCAAACATCAACTCTGTCCACTGAAAGCCGAACTACAGTACAGTATTCTCATTCTGTATCCGCTGTGCTGTAAACCACGATCAGCTCCCAGCCGCGGCGCAGAGCTAAAATATCGACCGGTTGACTAGCTGCGACGGTATCGCCAGCTACACCTCGGACAGGTTTTGTGCGACGAAATCGCCCATAAGGCTGCGCATCTTCTTATTTCTTCAATCAACGGTACTGGTGTGAAATGTTTGTAGAAATGATTTGGACTTACACTGTCATCGAGAGTGCATCAGAGACGCAGACATATATAGGCTGCATGGTTCCTAAATACAGGCTAAGCCTCATTCTTGGTGGATGCGTGGTCACTCCTACTGTACCGCTCATGGCAAATATAAGGAAGGGTAAAATAAGGGAAAAGGTGAGTAGGACGAAGAGTACACATCCTAACGCGTACTTCAGCGGCCTTTTCTTTCTTTTACCCGATGATTCCTCACTGGACGTCAGCTTTTCAAACTCTCTTTCACACTGTAACATAAAGGCAAAGAATCAGTATCTACATTTACGACATAAATTGTCCGAATTGTATTCGGGAAACTTCGGCAGCATATTCTGCAGATAAAAATAAATAAAATATACTAACTTGAATAAAAATATTAAGGAAGGAGCATATCAAAATTCTTAGGTCGACCGCAACAGGACTTTAAAATGTCCGACTTAAATTCCGGTTTATCAGTGCCGTTCTAATTTTATTCAAAACGTGTAAAAATATGACGTAGGGTAGACGTGGAGTGGACTCAATAATTTGTTGTTTTATTTTACGTTGTGAATAAATGTTGGTAGTTATTAAAATTGTTATAAAAATATATAATTCTAATAAAAATAGATAATTATAATAATTATCTATTAATACAAAAATATCCGATACGCTACTGAAGCAGGTAAGTCAAATTGACGTATCTAAATTCTTTGAAACTAATCTTTGACAAGTAGTTAATAGAAGCAAAAATGCAAGAAAAAATATAATAATAATAATAGCCCCCGTATATAGCGTTTAACGCCTTGGGAGTAGCAAGGTACAGCTTGCTATACTAGAGCCGTTCGGTATACAAGGAAGGTAATGTGGCTAGCACTACGCTTCAACCGCCTATTATTACCTCAGGATTGTGAATCCCAAGTACTCACTTAAGGCTGAGTCGACCTAGGTACCCAAACTATTTTTATTTTAATAAAAATAGTCGGCTGATGAAATGCCGGGTGTGGGAATCGAACCCACACCTTCAGATTGGTAGACGAGAGCCTGTACCTCTACGCCACCGGGCACCACAGAAAAAATATTAATTAGTTAATTTTAAATTAATTTCATAAATGATCGGTTTACTACACGTATGAATATTATACCTATAGCCACTTACTAGAAAAAAGTTATTCCATTATTCCCCTCGATTTTTGACCGAGATTTACCGCAAGCTACACAACCAACTGTTTTTCAGTATTTTCCGATAAATCGCAATAGTTTCAACTGTAAATTTGAGTTCTGCCACAATTTTAATAGTAGAATAAAATAATAAATAACATAAAATAAGCCCAGTCAAGACTGACAAATCCACAAAACTTCAAATCAAATTCAAATGTGTCAAGTGAATTGTCAAACAGAACTGTCAATGACCAGCACCCTAGAGTCCTCTTTCCGTCAGCCATGCATGAATACATGGATAACATTATACTCCTTCCTTAATATTTTTATTCAATGGGTTTGAAAAGTAACAACTTTTCATCCATATCGAGTGAAAAAATATACATTTCCGCCGTTTTTTACGTAAAAAATACCTCTTGGTAAAAAGCGCTACGACTAGCCGTCATACCAAGAATTTACAACTTTGACAAACACCTCACTGTAGTTTTGAGCAATAAAAAGGATTGGAAGAGAGAAACTTTTGCTCAGGCAATGTAAAAGACTAAACGTTCTCCAATGTAAAAGAGGTATACTGATGCCATAAATATATACCAATTATACTATAAACTCGTATACCAAATATACCATATACCAAGTATAACATATACCAAGTATAACATATACCCAGTATAACATATACCAAGTATACCATATACCATGTATACCATAAAGTGGTATACTGATGCTTCCAAAACCAAAGCTGAGACAGGGATAGGAGTATTTGGGCCAAAAACTAAATACCCCGAACCAATGGGCATGGGCATCTACCCCAGCATCCTTCAGGCAGAAATCTACGCTATCGAAACATGCGTACAATTTATCTTAGAGAGGAACTATCGAAAACAGGAAATAACCATTTATCCGATAGTCAAGCAGCACTAAAAACCATCAATTCAAAGTTCGTCAAAGAATGCCTAAAGAAGCCGAACAAATTAGGCAAAGAAAATAAAGTCCTCCTACTCTGGGTGTCGGCTCACCAAGTGATAGAAGGTAATGAAAAAGCAAACGATCCAGCTATAAAAGGAGCGAACACTCTACTAACTGGATAAGAACAACCATTCTGCTTTCCAAGTCGAAACCAACTTAAAGCGGAACTGAAGAACCTGTAAAGCTCCGCGCGCACTGAAGGGGTATCGGAGCGAGCGAGCGGTACGTAATTTTCAGTTTACGTTGAAATAAATGTAAGTCCGCCCATGGCATTAGATCGGTGCCATCGGTGCGCTTCGAGCTAGCGGCGGTACTCGCGACATCAGGCGAAATCAGAGAATGCATGGGAGGGGGACGAATAGTCTACGCCGAGCGACTGTTTTTAGTGGAGCGGTTTTACATTAAACATGTCCGATGAATTATTAATCGAAAGTGTACGAGACCATATCATACTTAATATGTGGTTTTTTATAAAAAATTCTTACAAGCACGTAACCTATATTGTTTATATTATTCAATAACTGAATTAGAAAACCTTCCGATTAAACCCATGTATTTCTCATCTCGTTTTGATTATCTCACATTATTATGGAAATCGAATTTAAACATCGTCAAAAATCTTATCATATTATTTAATTTTTGTGTGTGGTTTGTTTTGACATTAGTAATAACAGCTGGTAAACAGTCATCCTATGTTACTATGTTGATCGCTCCGTACAAGGTACAAATAGAGAAAATAATATTTATGTTTGAATAAATATTTGTACATATATCTACTGTATGATAGAAAAAAACGGCGTCTAGTTGGATGGGAAATGACAATTGATGACATTTCCTATATAAATTTACATATAAAATGGCACCGACCTTCATTTCATGGCCATCGCTGATGCCGTTCCTTTTCGATAATACAGAAAAACTATTTATATTTTTTCTTTTTTCAATTTTCTTTGACTTTTTTATTATATTTTAAGTTTCTAAAATCTTGGTTTTAAGTAGTGAATAAAACGAAACTGGTGTTTACATTTTGTTTAATGATTGACGTTTCGTTTCGACCAATTTTAATTCGGTCTTCATCAGAATCTATAATATACAATACAATTTTATCACTAACAATGTGTTTAATATATAATTTTTTCTTACCACAAACGTAGAAAATTATTTATACGTATATTATAGATTCTGAAGAAGACCGAATTAGAATTGGTCGAAACGTCAATCATTAAACAAAATGTAAACAAGTTTCGTTTTATTTACTACTGACTTAAAACAAATATTTTAAAAACTTAAAATAAAAGCTATATATAAATGTTTGTAATGACACTTATTTAGTTTAAAAAACTAAAAATAGAAGTTTTATTTGACTATTTTTCATATCTAGCTTTGTTTTTAAAGAACAAATTAAACCCTTTTGAATGATACCAAATTTGTTAAAATCGGTCAAGCTAAGAGTCATGTAGTATATTTTATCCCCATTTTCCACTCTATTTCACTAATTTTATGTGGTTTGTTAAGATCTAAATATATTAATGTGTGTTTGGTTAAGATCTAAATAATATTCATTTCCATCATAAAGCATAAAATATAAAAAGTTGCATAAAAATATAAATAGTAATAATACTTTATAATTTTTTGAAATGCCGAATGAATTTGACTAAACTTCTCCTCGTCTATGCTCAAGTTTATACTGGTGACGTGTTCTCGACCGTCGATCGTGCGACTCCAGTGCGCTGTTACAATCGACTTTCCGCCCGGTCGCGCCGCTCGCTCGCGCCTATACCCCTTCAGTGCGCGCGGAGCTTAAAGCTGCGTCCTCACTGAGTCGACACTGTCGATCGACCATGTCTATCGACATTATTGATCAACAAGTCGACAAAACTGCATCTGTCCACACCAGATTGACAGACATGTTTGTCGATCAGTCGAAATCAACATGTCTAACGAAGATGACGCAATAGTTACTTGTGTCGCATATATTATTATCACTTCTCTTGCAAAATGACTCTGATGATTTTTTATTTTTTGTTCTACCGCTTGCTTATCGATGTTAAATTGATTAACAATTTCCATAAGGGCATCGTGCCTCAAGTTTCTGTTCTTATAGTTTTTGGTTTTACAATCCCATAGATTCTTTCTCAGTTTGTATGCCTAAATAAAGGCTATGACTTTATCTTGCTCCCATTCCATTTCTTCAACGAAAAAGCAAGACTACGATTTCATCTAGCCAAGACGTCACTGTGTATAACAGTTTGTCGAATGTCGAATGTCGAAAACAGGTCCACACACTAATGTCGATCGATTGTTCTTTGATGTTTACTGACGGACGATGGAAAACAAATCGACATGTTGATCGATTAATTCTGTCGATCGACACCGTCGATTGCCACGTACACACCAAATCGACAGCGTCGATAGACAGGGTCGATTGACAGTGTCGACTCAGTGAGGACGCAGCTTAAGACTCCATCCGTAACCTGGATTGGCAATCCTACAACGGTCTAACACACACGAAAAAATTTCTCAGAACTTACGACCGAGAAAAATCAAAGATTTTCCTGGATTTAAGTAAAAATAATCTTCGGATTGTTACAAGGTTTCTAACAGGACACTGTCTCCTCAACGAACACCTCAGTATCAGTATAGTGAAGCTAAGAAACAACTGTGAAAATGTGTGGTTCCGTTCGTGCCATGAATTTTGGTATACGTCTAATGTCGAGGATGGAGAGCTGGCCTCTGTGGAGCCGCCTCAGATACTGGCGTTTGTCAAAGCCTTGAGACTGTATGATGAGTTACAACTCGTTATAACTCAAGAAAGGGGAACCCAAAATAGATCTATAAGGTCGCGGTGATTAATTCCCCCCCAAAACATTCTACCTTCTACAACCATCAATACCTGTCATCATTGACAAAAAATAAAGATATTGATTAAATAGTTATTTGACTGAAATGATAAATTTGGGAACTTTTTAGTTTTTATTTTAAATTAATCATAGTACTTCTAGAAAACATATATGATGGAATAGTTTCTGTCGAATCTTTGGCACAAAAACATTTCAAATTTATGATTTCAGGCTAATAACTATCTAGTCAACATGTTCAGTTTTTGTCAATAATGATATGTATTGATAATTTCGATTCCAAATATCTCGAGAACCATTACTCTTAGCTATTTCTACCAAGAGACTTTTTTACGTAAAAATAGTAGAAATGTATATTTTATTAGTAGTTTCATACAGTTAATTTTATACAGGTACGGACAAAAAGCTACTCTTCAAAACAGTTAAAAATATGTAGGTGGCGTTCTCTATAAGTAGGAGTCATATTGACATCCAAATCAAATTTTTCATGTCAAGAAACTCCCAGACACAATTTTTTATCCCAATATCTACGTTAGTTCAGAAATTATTTGGAAAAAATAAAATAAAAATATTTTTTTATACACCTTTATATGTTTATACCGATATATATTTATAGAACTTTTTATATATTTTTATATGATAAATATGCTGCTGAAGTTTCCCAATACATTTGGACCACCCTGTATATAAATTTGTTTAAGCAGGGTTGGTATATAAAGGTTAACATAGGCTGGCTTTGGTTTTACTTTAGTTATTTTAATTATGAAAAAACTACTTTTCTTGAATTAAAACTTAATTACCATTTGATCATAGATATTCTCAGTTATGTCCTCCATTTTGAAATATTGTGACACTCCTAGGCAAGTGTCGGTAATTGTCCAGTCCAACAAAGTTCGTAGTTCAAAAACATATGGGATTAGAGTGTAAAACTTAAACGCAAACCTACAATAGTTTTTTACAATTTTTCTTGATAAACATTATTTTAAATCACATCGTCTGTTCAAAAAGTTTTTTGATCAAGCTTGCTTTGGACATATATATCTATATTATCTAGAGCCCTTTTGATCATAAAACTTTTTTACTATACTGCAGATACCTGTTAAATGTAGTGTATCTATGCCACAAGAAATGCATTGATATTAACATGGGATATCCATTTCTTATCTGATAGGCCGAAAACAGAAAGTACATGCACTTTGTAACGTAGAAGGTTTGTACCGCAGGCGTCTCACTGAACACTCTGTAAATGTAATGAAGAAATTGTGAAGAAAATGACCCCAAAAGTCACAATTTTTAAAAATATAATCATTTAGCTGCAATATTGCTTGTTAAATGACTCTGCGAATAACTTTGTATGTATAATCTCTCCAGCGACAGAATATGAAACTATATTCAGTGACAGTTATAACTCTGGCTGTCATATTAATTTAGAAATAGATTTTATTTCTCTTATTTTTTGGTTGCCGTCTGCTGAATCCATATTATTCTCTAACTGATAATATTGATTTCGCCTATCCCATTTGAGTTTCTAATAGAAACAATTAAAATGATAAATACCGTATCTATGATCGAAAAAAAAAACGGCGTCCAGTTGGCATGGAAATAAACATCGATGGCAATTCCCTATGTAATTTTACATACAGGGTGGCCCATCGAAAACGTTCCGCAAGACATAACGGCCAGGATATTTTTTTTTTCAAAAAATCCAAAAACACGTCAATTTTGTTTGTGAGGGGGACAACTTTTGCCCCAAAAATGATTGCAAAATCTTCAACCCTTTAAGCGGGGGTGTCATCCCCCAACTTTTTTCAAATGGGAAGGGGGGTCAAGTGGCGCCGCAATGAAAAGAGCTTTCTATTCTCTATATTTCCCCGCTTCGTTTTTGAAAATCGGTCGAGTCATTGAGAAAATATGAAGGATTGAAATTTGAAAAGTTTATTTAAGCATTTATCAGAGTAAATGATAAGGATAATTTCCTTCGACCAATTTGCTGTTTTTTCTTATTATTTCTAGATGTTTACGTATTTTTTCACTTGCCACAAGGTTGAACGATCAGGTGCGGTCTCAATATCGTTAAACTGACCGACAATAGAATTTCCAAAAATACCAGCCCGCGACGATCAAAATAGTCTTCGTTGAGTTCTTGTACCAACTGAATTTTGTACGGGTAGAACTTGTTTACTACGTGTTTACTACGTGTTTTTTTAATATCGTTTGGACACTTGTACGATTCACGCCGGTCGCGGTCTCATTGGCTAATTTTCTTGTACTCAGCGTACTACCCATGGCAACTTGGCCCAATACGAATACCTCCATAGCTTCATTTACTACAGGATTTTCTCTCTGCCTCTTTTTATTCATAACGGAACCAGTTTTGTGAAATTTTGCTACTAAATCACGAACAATTTTGCCATAAAGGTGTTTGTCAGGATGGCGTTCATTGAATATCTGCGCAAACCGATTGCCACATTCATTATTTTTAAAATAAAGTTCGATTATATTCACTTTTTCTGCAAGTGAGTACACCATAATTGTTAAAAAGTTTAACGATATTGAGAACTTCAACGCACAAGTCACAGAACAGCTATTTAGCAACTACCGCACCTGATCGTTCAACCTTGTGGCAAGTGAAAAAATGCGTAAACATCTAGAAATAATAAGAAAAAACAGCAAATTGGTCGAATTTATCCTTATTATTTAGTCTGATAAATGTTTAAATAAACTTTTCAAATTTCAATCCTTCATATTTTCTCAATGACTCGACCGATTTTCAAAAACGAAGCGGGGAAATATAGAGAATAGAAATCTCTTTTCATTGCAGCGCCACTTGACCCCCCTTCCCATTTGAAAAAAGTTGGGGGATGACACCCCCGCTTAGAGGGTTGAAGATTTTGCAATAATTTTTGGGACAAAAGTTGTCCCCCTCACAAACAAAATTGACGTGTTTTTGGATTTTCTGAAAAAAAAATTACCATGGCCGTTATGCCTTGCGGAACGTTTTCGATGGGCCACCCTGTATAAAATGACAGCGATGTTCATTTCATAGCCATTATCACAATTCATTACCTAAGGGTGACCATGGGGTATATTATGAAAAACCATATATGGTACGTAAACACTTGGAAAAAGTGAAACAGCGTCTTGATGAATCGTCGTTTGCCTTTGTATATCCATCGGTCCACCACCATCATACCGAACTGAAGCAAAAATGTCACTATAAAGGACATCGGCACCTTGTTTGTCATCAAGAAACCTATGAGGCCGTGCTTTTCCTCTTTGTCCTGTCAAAAAACATAATATCAGATATGTTTTTTATTTCCTGTATGTGCTATAAGAATCAATAGTTTAAATATGGAAATTTGTCAGATGTACAGGGTGGTTCGAATTCGACGCTCATCATTGGGATTTCGGAAACCGTAAGAGCTACAGGATCGGTTAAATGGAGGCAAAGTTGCGCAATTTCATGCTCAATAAAATGCCGTATTGCATTTTGAAAAATTCCGAATACTTTCGAATATATTCGAAAAAAAACGGAATTTTTAATTTTGTTTTCTATTGTTTCCTGGCTTTATTTGTTAAGATAACTTAAAATGAAAAACACATTTTCATGGCCACTTTTTCTGCTCTATAACTCTGTGTTATAGAGCTGCTCTATAACTCTGTTTATATTAAATATTGACTCTGACGTTTCGGCTTCTGGCGACCATCATCAACTTATTTTTTTTTAAATACGGACCTGATATTTTTTGAATTTAATTATATCCTTTCATCACTCTTAAAACACTATAATATATAGTCACTTTGATATTTGCCGACGTTTCGTACAGAAAATTCCATCACCAGAATATTTTATGCAAAAAAAAATAAAAAATAAAAATGCAATACGGCATTTTATTGAGCATCAAATTGCGTAACTTTGCCTCCATTTAACCGATCCTGTATCTCTTACGGTTTCCGAAATCCCAAATGATAAGCGTGGAATTCGAGCCACCCTGTACTGATGAGGAATTAATGTGGGAATTTCTAGTTCCTTGTACCAAAGTAGCATTTTTGGACACATCTTAGGTAATGTTTCTGATAATCGTGTCTGTTTCTTAACACAAAATGGAAACGGTATGCCAAAAATGGAAAACATTTTCGAACCTATATATACATTTTATGTGCCTTTATTACATGTGCTTCCAATGTGGTCGCACTAGTCGTTTCCTGAAATGTTTCGATGCGGAATCAAAACTTTTAGAGGAAATGTTACGATACATTTTCTGTAATTTGTGTCCAAGATGTTCCAGTTTTCAGCAGCCACTGTTTCTGAATGTGAAGAAACAAAATAACAAACTAAAATAGTCTATGTCTGTGTGTGGATTTCAAAATGAAAACAACCATCAACAATGTCGACCTCCGCCATATTTTTTTTTGTCTTCAGATCTTTGTTGATCTTGGTTTTCTCGCACAAAAATGTATGGCTAAAGCAAATTCATCGTTTAATTTAATAATGTACTTTCATATTTTTAATGCCCCTTCTATATATCATTATTTGTTGCTACAAATTATTTTTTGTGAACTGCAAAAACCACCATAGATCGTGGCATAACGTCGGTTTCCATTGTTTCATAGGTATTTCATACATGCGTCCTTATATAAAATAAAGTTTCTTGTATGCACCACATTGTATTTTATTTATAAAATTAAACGAAAATAATAATAAATTTGAATAAACAATATTTGGCGATATAATTCCGGAAAAAGCCGAACCCATGCCGAACCGCTCCGAAATTTTCAAAAGTTTTGGGTCGCGACCGTTGCAAGAATAGAGCCAAATAGTGTTTACATTGTCCTTATGGGCACTTTCCAATCTAAACTTGTTTCATTTATCTATGGTGCTTTATTATTACTGGAAACGCATTCCTTCATCGGAAATCTTAAAGATGTATTTATAAATACAAATTAATATGAATTATAGTAAAATAATGTAATCAATTACAAGGTTAATTACAGTATTATTACAATATTCAATAACTTATTAATTTAGGTACTATTAAATTGTTAGAACTTTAGGATTTAAGAAGATGTTCAAATATTCCTCCATCGACTGCTAGACAATAACCCAGGCGATCATAAATTTCTCTTCTTGCATTCGCTAGTTGGTAAACTGAAATTCTATTGCATTCGGCAGAAATAGCATTTTTTAACTCGTCTAGATTTGGGTATTTTTTATCCTTGTAAATCCTGTTTTTTAAATGGCCCCAGAGAAAGAAATCATTTGGCGAAATATCAGGAGACCTTGCTGGCAAATTTACAGTATGATTTAGGCCAATAACGTTTCCGTTAAAAGTATTGTCTAAATATTCCCGAACAGCCAGTGTACTATGTGCCGGGCAGCCATCCATTGGGTTCATTATTTAAAGTAAACGTGCATTCGTCAGTGAAACATATATTTTTTAAAATTCCCTATCCGTGTTTGCTCTTTCCATCATATCAAAACAAAACGCCTGCCGCCGTATTTCGTCCCCATCTCGTAGCTCTTGGTGCTTTTCATATTTGAAGGAATAGTATTTATGTCGTTTCAAAATTCGAAACGCTGTAGTGTGATCTATTCCTATTTCATCCTCAAGTTTCCTTGTGCTGATCTTTCCATCGTTCTCTTCCACGCACAATAAAACTTCCAAGTCGGTATCATTTCTTGCATCTTCTCTTTGTTCCTGCCTTGCTTCACATCTGCAGTTATTTATTAGGGTACCTTTGGTCTCAAATCTCTGGATATTCCTTGCGATTGTAGATTTTCCAGGTATCGGTCTATTCGGATACAGAGCAGCAAACATGTCCGACACCTTTTGATAACTATTTCCTTGATAATACCATTTAATCATCAATACTTTTTCTTCGGTAGTGTAATTCATGGCTAATATTTTCGATGTAGGTATGAGTTTTTAATAATAATAATAAAGCACTAAATAGATAAATTTCTGAAATGACAACTTCATTTGACAGTTATCTTTTACTTTGACTGGTGCTCATAAGTAAATACAGGGCCATAAGAAAGGAGAAATATTTAAAAAGAAATCGGCGATAACTCGTAAACGGGCTAATCAAAAATATCTAAAGTTATTCTTTTGAATGTGGGTTTTAGTGCTCTTCAATAAACTTAAATAGAATTATTCTCTAAAATAATTAGGGAAGCCAATAATTGACCCTTTTAAAATTTACATGGGATTTCCTATGTCCTGCTCGACGATGCAACACCCGGTATGTGTCAAAAATTTGTCAAATTAATTCCAGAACTTTTGTGTCCTGACACAAACACCTTCATTGTTTCGAAACTGTTTCGCAATGTTTCTCAGCAGAGATTTTGTATCGATTTTGTGTCTAAAAATGTTACTTGGGTGGAAGGAACTACTTTCTCCAGAAGCAATAGTTCCTTGAACTAGGTCTTTAGTTCACATTAGTTTCCGACTTGATGGAACATTGACATCCCCGTTGCTTACTCATGGATGTCATTACATCAAAATCGAACAAAGGGTTCAAGGGGAAATTGATTTCAAACAACATGTCCTTAATTTGTGACTAGTAGTTATAATAATTTCTTACCATAAATGAATCGAAGAAGAATGTAATATTAAATAAGTTGATGAGGTCGCAAAAGAACATTGGAGTGTAGACGTCTACTGGTACTTGTGTACTTGATGGCGTTAGGAGTTGCTGAAGGAACGACTTTACTGATTCACCATACTTTTGCGCCCTAACACAAATAAATAAAATTAATACAATAAGTAAATATATAGTTAATATACACACACAGTGTTCAATAAAATAATAATATAGACACTGAAGCACCCTAAATAAATTAAAAGTTACTTTAAATTTCAAGTACCATAGCTCTGTTAAAACCACTAATTTTTAATCAAGGAGCCTTGGTAAAATACGTAAAATATATTTGATCATCTAATATTTTTCGTGACTTTTCGTGGCCGGTGAAAATGCACAAATCGTATTTTTAATCAAACAGAACAAGGATGGTTCATTAGCATATTAAAAAAAGTACCACCGTTGATTGAAAAAATAAGAAGATGCGCAACCTTATGGGCGATTTCCTGGCACAAAACCTGTCCGAGAATTCCGAGATTAAGTTTAGCTCTGCGCCGCGCCGCTGCGCGCTAATATACGTTTACAGCGCAGCGGATAAAGAATACTCTACTGTAGTTTTGCTTCCAGTCGACAGAGTGAGTGGCAGCCGGAGACAGTGTTGCCCGAATTACTGATTGGTCCGTTGATTTACGGATTTTGGGTACCGTACGTTAATAATATTGATTTTTTTTATCATTAAACAAATCAAACAAACATGAAGATCGCTGTTATTTCATATGTAAAATATTATGGTAAACATTAACATATTATGGTAAATAACATTAACAATATTATGGTCATTTCCAAGCCAACTAAACGACTTTTTTCGATCATACGACATATTTAGTACCTATAATAGAAATTTAATTTTAATTTACAACCACATATGTAATACTGACATTACTGACTTTTAAAAAATTTGAAAGTGTTGAATTATTTACATTTCTTCTCTCATTCATGGGTGAGGGAAATTCACCCATTTCCTTCATCCATTTTCCTCACTCGGATTTTCTTATTTCTCGCCTCATTTAATTAAGCAAAATATTCTTTTATATTAAATACTTATCTAACATTAAGAAAAATAAATAAGAAGATTAACAATAATAAGATTTTAATACATTTATTTGTTGAAGGTAAAAATGCTAGACTTCTTTGGCTTAAAACCTATATTATGACGTTTTAAAAAAGTGACGGGTTTGTGATATTTTGATATGTCAGTCTTTTCCCTTAATTCTAGCATTGTCCGTATCATGCTGTACGTAGCCCAAATGCTTTTTCTGCCTTGCCATCTCGCTAAAATATGCCATCAAGACTGTCTACGAAGCAATATTCTTAGCATTTCTTTCGGCACACCATTTTTCGTATACTTTCAATGCTATTTCATATCGCCCCCTACTTTTCTCTGGAAGTAAACTGGCTTCTGCTATTTTTGCAGCTTCTGTAAGTTCTCGTGGAGTACCAATATTAAAGTAGTCTTCATTATCAGAACTTTCCGACAATATTCTGGCTTTCTGTGTTATATAAATTCGAAAAAGCGAACGAGAAATTCAAAACTGTCACTTAGTTGTTTGTTTTTCTGTTGAAGGTTTGCGCCATAACAACCATTGGTACCGGTAACTATAGATATGAAAATGCCAAAACAGAAAACGACAAATTTTCGCATATTTATTTTTTTCAAAATAAAATACTGTCCCTGTTTTTTAATTAATGATGTGGTTGTAAATGAAATAGATTTCGGAATATTCGGAGGAAAGTTTTCATTATTGTCTCGAGATTTAATTTCTTTAAAATTTCTTAACAATACCAATCTCTCGACAATTAGAATTTTTTTTTAGAATTTAGAATGAGTGGGAGGGGGGTTAATCACTTCGACCTTACAGATCCATTGTGTCCCCCTTTCTTGAATCATAACTCATCATACAGTCCCAGGGCTTTGACAAAAGCCAGTATCTGGGACGGTTTTATAGAGGGTAGTTCTCCATCTCCAATATCAGTCGTACCAAAATTCATGGCACGAATGGTTGTCGTCTCGGCGCACTCAGTGATGAGGTGTACTGGTGTTTCCCCATCTTCCCCACAGAATCTGCATTCGCCGTTTCCTCTTAGTTTCAATCTACTGAGGTGTCCATTGAGGAGACAGTGTCCTGTTAAAAACCCCGTGACAATCCGAAGATTGTTCTTACTCAGACCCAGGAAGGTCTGTGATTTTTCTTGATCATAAGCCCTCAGAAACTTCTTCGAGTGTCTTAGACCATTGCAAGATTTCCATTCCAGATTGCGGATGGAATCTTCCAAGTTCTTGAGTTCCGCCTTGAGTTGGTTACCACTTGGAAAGCAGAACGGTTCTGGTCCAGTTAGTGGAGTGTTCGCTCCTTTCCTAGCTAGATTATTTGCTTTTTCATTGCCTTCTATCCCTTGGTGAGCAGGCACCCAGTGTAGGAGGACTTTCTTTGCCTAATTTATTCAGCTTCTCTATGCATTCTTTGACCAATTTCGAATTGATTGATACTGAGTTGATCGCTTTTAACGCTGCTTGACTAATCTCTCGACAATAATGAAACACTTCTCTCCTCGGTATGTAATATATTATTGTTGTTTATTCTATGTTTCACACGAATACATTTTCAATACATAAACGCAGATTTTTCATCCAAAGATATTTTCGTGAAACTATAGCAACACTGTTGCTTTCAGATCTACACCGACTTCGATATGCCTTCGCTGGCCGAATTAAAGAAAATAAGTATTTTATACGTTTACAGGAAAGCGATTGGTGTCTCCACCGTACCAGCACTTGAGACGTAAGGAGAAATTAAATCAGCCTGCTTGTCACGAATTCACCCATTAGGTTGTGTATCTTCCCTATTTGTTCAATCACCGGTACTACTTTACATACTCTAGACCGAATATAAAATACAATTTTTTAAAGTGAAAATGTCAAAAGTTGGCATATTATGTAATTCTATTCAAAATGTCATTTTCTATGAAATAAAGTAAAAAATACTGAAGGTACCATGGAAAAATCTGAAGTTGTAGTAATTTCCGGTGAAACAGGAAGTGACCGAGAACAATTGAACACGTCAATCAATCCTGATTATGTCATATACTAACATTTAGAACCTGTTTTTTTTTAAAGTACTATTAAAAGTAAAAGAATACATTTTTCTCAAAATGTCAATAATAAAAAAGTTTTTCCTCTTGTAATGACAATCCAAAGACATACTGTATATGGATTTTTTATCGGAACACTGAGTATATATACTTGGGGAGACGTATTTCATTATTTCATTGTTATTTTACTGGTACTCACCCATGCATTACTGATTGAGGAAAGTAGTCTCCCAATTTTACATTGGTAGACTCTATTGTATATACTTTTTTAGATGTTGCATTTGGAGGATTTGGAGCACTCACTCTGAAATCATCATTTAACATTAACATTCTATTCATAATTAAATCAGGCAACAAATTAGTTATCTGCTAAAATACAGGGTGGTTTGGTGGTGCACGAAAAACGGAATGATGTAGAAATAAACTATTTTATGGGTTAATTTTAAATATCCAGTGTTTCAGAACTGATCATATACCAAAGTTATATTTTTTCTTATGGAACACCCGGTATTTTATTCCATTTATGGATTCTTGGGCTTAAAAAATACTTTCATTATAAAGTTGTAATATGTTTAAAATCTTTGGTTTTTGAGATATTTAAAGTTATTTAAATACGCCTGTTACAATAAAATAGATTATAACACCCTGTACATTACTTTTCAGAATTATTCTTGTGCTGTTTAAGTTTAAAGGTAGAGAAATAAACTTTACTGAAAAATGTTATTGCTTCCATAAATTTATACAGGGTATCAATCTAGGTATCAAAAATTGCTGATCTATTTTAAATATTTATTTTACATAAAAAAATCACTAATTTGAAGTGAAACACCCTCTATTTTTTTAAAATAAATCGAAATAGATTCAAATGCTCTTTCAAACTATATTACGTTTTCCTATACCTATCTAGCTCAGATTTTGAATAAAAAGCGATTTTTTCAATGAAATGGCAATTAAGATGTCTGGTGACGCCATGGTAATTTTCTAATGACAGTGAATAAATATTTTTAAAATCGACATTATAGGTTACGGACTTTATTATTTAGATTTTCAGAAGTTCTTCGTTTTTCTTGAGAAAATAATAGATAATAATACTATAATTAATTGAACTACAATAGTTATTAAATTGTAGGTAAATTAAATAAAAGTAAACTGCTATAAATTTAGATAAAGTCTATAAATTAATTTCGATTTTGAAAATAGCGACTAACTGTCACTAGAAACTTGCCATGACGACACTAGCCCTTTGGTTGTCATTTTATTGAAAAATTGCTCTGTTAAGGTTGATTTTCACAATACCTTCCGTATCAGCTCCCTTCCGTTTACATAAAATATTATATCATTTATATGAATAGGACAATGAACACTAGCCGTTCCATTTCCGTTCCGTTCCATATCCTTTCCTTCCATACATTTTTTCGGCGGACGAACTGCAGCGTATCGAAAACAGCGTTGTCAAGTTATCAACTTTGTACCTGCTCTGTTAACATTTTGCTGATATTTATTTATTCTTTCACTTCTTAATTAAATATATTACCTTTATCAAAAGATACAAGTTTTTAAAATAAATCTTTCGTAATGATATAAATTGTACAATAAAAAGTATGGAACTGATATGGCAGGAAAGCTTACGTATAGCGTCAATACAATAAAAAATACGGAACGGATATGGAATGGAAACGTATGCCTTCTGCAGGTCCACGAACACAAGATGTAGCTCTTGGTTTATATTGCTCTTGTTACATATTACTTGAGAGACTGTAAATAAGTCGTCCACCGTCGATCTTCCGGCTCTAAATCCTGCTTGTTCTTCGGCTTCTATTTCTTGGTATTCGTACTCTCGGCGATATACGAGGTTTAATTTTGTTAGTCCCAACGATATTACCAGAGAAGAACAACCGTAGAGAAGCGGCAAAACGAATCCCGCCTAAAAATTTGGAGTGGGAGGTAAAACGGCCAACTGTCATCTCAACAGATTTTCGGAACACGGGCATTGTTAATGCTAAAGTCCTGAAATCTTACTATTTTTTTATTTGCATAAATAATCTTTTTGAATTAACTAATCTATCTTTTATCCTTACTTATTATAATGTTCGCGATTAATTAAAAACTGCCTCTTGCGAAATTATTAAATTGTCCCTTATGAAAAGAACTTTTATATTAAAATCCTTCTTATGAATAGATTCCTTCAAAGTTTTTGAACTAAAATAATAAAATAAAGTAAGTGATTGGTACCGATGGTAGAACAAATTATCCATCGAAAAATTTTAGCAAAATATGTAAATTCATTTTAAATTTAGTTTGTTAAGTTTTGACTTTGTTATTTTAGTAAAATCGACATGTTTTTTAATGTAAAAAATTACTATTTTTTCATAAAACTATAATGTTCACCAAACAAAAGGAGTACTTACATAATTGTGCCTTATTTTCTTCCCGGTTTTGAAAATAAAGTTAACAGTTGAACGGAATCCGCAAAATAACTTTTGGACAATACAGAATTGCAATTTGAGTACAGTTTAATTATTTGTCTTTTAAATATCAAAAACGTATAGTTCGATGATTTCAAAATACTGTTGACCAGGAAGTAACAAAAGAAGATGGATCAATATGATAAAGGTACATTTTGACATTTAAATTAAAAAAATATATATATGTAGAACTTTTACTATTAATTTCAGATTTATCATATTGTTATATTGAGTACACCCCTAATAAACATTTGTTTTAATAAAACCACACATACAGTTTATGAAACCTTAGTATGCGTTTTATTATCAAACTTTATTAACCATTAATATTTTTTAACATATTTTGAGACGTTTATTAAAAAATTAAATTAGAAAATCTTCAGATTAAATCCATTATCTTCATTATTTTTTATTTCGTCTTTTTTAGTCTCGCTTATATGGAAAACTAATTTGATATCATTAAAAAATTAATCCTATTATTTACTTTGTCGTTTGTTTAATGCTTCTGATAACAGCTGATAAATTTCTTAAATTGTTTTATTTATCATTTGATTTAAAAAAAAACATCCAGTTTTTTCAAATATTAATTTGAAAGCAAACAATATTATCAAATATATAAAAAAAGGAATATCCCTAAAAGATAGAGTTGAACGCGATAAATCGACAAATCGACAAGATAGTTACTATTCAAAATTATTCCTAAATATTTTTAATATACTTTTTACTAAACACATTTTTTATCAGTGTATATCTTTTTTCATTTCTTTTGCCTTCGTTGTATTTCTTTCAGTGTAGTTAGAAACCGGCGATCTCTCACGTACCTCAAATTGAAGGTCACAAAACTTGGTCCCCCTCACTTCAATCGTGCCGACGGTTTTTGTCGCTTCTCTACGATTGTTCTTCTCTGATATTACTTGACGACTATGCTACGGGGGGCGATTATAAAATTGAATAGATTGATATTGTTATTTGCAAAGGTTACAAGACAGTACTATTTTCGTAATTTTTGATTTGGGTTTTTACAATGTTTTTGGTCAACCAGTGGATTCCAATTGGTCATTTCCAATGTCTCTGATGGTTGGAGCGATTGCGAAATCTGTCTATGTAAAAAAAACTGTTGTAAAATATAATAATATACCAGGTGTTCTATTTAAAATAACAAAGATGCTACCACTTTTAGTAAGGAGCAGCAACACTGTAACACTGAAAATCATTTAGACAGATAGAGCAGGTGCTTTTATGCAGAAATCCAAATTTTTAAACTAAATCCTATCACCGCACCAGTTTTCCATAAACGTCTAACGTACCATGGTCGTAAATCACCCTGTATATTTAAGAACCAATTTACAGAAGTACTTGTTTTCAATGAGATTAAAGTTTTAATTTTATCATATTTAGTTTACAGTAACTATAAATCTTGTTCAACTACTCACAGTTTTTGGCGTTGTAAAATATAATCACCATCTTGTATCAATTTCGTCGATCGATAGACATAAGGCTTCCATAATCCCAGCAGCTGTAGTATTGCTCTGGAAATAATTGATAATTTGTTAACGTTAATAATTTATTTAGAATATCCATTAATATTATAAAAATTCCATTCAGCAAGAGAATGGACAATTTCGACATACAACTTTTGTTTTAAAATTATCATTGAATAGAAAAGGCTATGAGGAAGGAGTACACTATTCTTATATGGTAATCGCAAAACAATTTCCGATGCACGTGATCAACTTTGAGTGACAAGCGATGGCGACAGCGCTGCCAGATTGTGTTGGATTGAAGAGATTATTTATTGATGTACATCTTACAACGCCATAAGTGGTAATAACAAGTAAGAGGGTACTATTAATAAAAATAAAAATGCAGGTCCGTATTTAAAAAAAATAAGTTGGCCTCTGTATCTCACAAATTATCAGCTAATTTGAAAATCTAAAAATACTTTCAGATAGCCCTAATAAAGTGGCTATGAGAATGTGCAATTAGTTTTTTCAAGAAAAGTAACGACAGGAAAAAATAAAATTATTTAAAAAAAAAACCGTTTTTTCCAAAAAAACTCAGGAATCCTTGAAATTTTTGAAATTTTTTTGATGGCATCTTGGTGAACAGCCGAAGGTGCAACTTTGCCTTAATTTAACCATCTTCGTATCTATTACGGTTTCCGAGATATCAATGCTAGTACTTCGAATTTGTAGCACCCTGTATAGGTATAATATACAGGGTGGTCCGAACTGTATTCCGGAAACTTAGACAGCACTTCCTGCAGATAAAAATAAGTAAAAAAGTTCGTATAAATGTATATCCTAAAATGCCTAGTTTCGGAGATACAGGGTGTAGAAGTTTCATTTTAGTTTCGATTTTTTCCAAATAACTTATGAAGTAACGTCAATATTTGGATGAGAATTGGTATCTGGGAGTTCTTCGACATGATAAACTTGATTTTGATGTCAATATGAGTGAATTGCCACCTACACGTGTTTTAACTGTTTTGAAGAGTAATAAGTTTTCGTCCGTACCTGTATAAACTACGGAGTGAAAGAATATACATTTCCGTGACTTTTTACGTAAAAAAATTTTCTTGGTAAAAATCGCTACGAGCAACCGTTCTCAAGATATTTAGAATGAAAGTAGTCAATACATGTCATTATTGACAAAAAATAAACGCGCTGAGTAGATAGTTACTTGACTGAAATAATATTTTATTTTTTTAAATTAATCATAATGTTCTGCGAAAAAATTATGATGAAACAGTTTCTGTTGAACTTTTGGCACAAAAACATTTCAAATTTATTATTTCAGTCTAATAACTAGTTAGTCAACATGTTTAATTTATGTCAATGATGATAGGTATTGATAATTTCGATTCCAAATATCTCGAGAACCATTACTCGTAGCGATTTTTACCGAGACACATTTTAAGTGAAAAACTTCGTAAATGTATATTTTTTTATTCAGTAGTTTCATACAGGGACGGACGAAAAGTTATTACTCTTCAAACCAGTTAAAAAATATGTAGGTGGTGCCCTCTACAAGTAGGAGTTATATTGACATCAAAATCAGATTTCTCATATCAAGAAACTCCCAGGCACCAATTTTCATCCATAAATTATTTGGAAAAAATCGAAATAAAAATGAAAGTTCCACACCCTGTATTTCCGAAACTAAGTATTTTAGGACATACATTTATACGAACTTTTTAAATTATTTTTATCTGCAGAATATGCTGCCGAAGTTTCCGGCATACAATTCGGACAAACCTGTATAATATCACGAAATACATATAGGCCCCGATAATCAAACTTGCGAGCTCAACAGACGAACAGGACCGACTTGGGCCACCTATGGACGATTGAAATGCATTTTCAAAGGGGCACTTCCGATATGTTTGAAAAGAAAGGTATTTAATCAATATGTACTACCTGTCGGACGTATGGTGTGGAGACCGTAACATTAACCAAGAAACAGTAAGCAAAATCAGAATAACGCAAGGAGCAAATGGAAAGGTCAATGTTAGGGCTATCTCTGAGAGAGACAAAGTACCGAATATCGAAGTACGGGGGGAGACAGAACAAAAGTCATGGACGCCATAGAGAAAAATAACTACTTTGAAATGGAATTGGGCAGGGTACATCGCAAGGCTAAACGATGACCGATGGACGAAGAAAATAGAATAGAGACCAAGACATGATGCATTCAGGGAGCAGAGGAGCCGTCCTCCAAGCAGATGGCATGACGACTTTAAGGCGTATCCACAGTAACTGGATGCAAATAGTTCAAGATAGGGAGTTATGGAAGCAAACGAGGGAGGCCTACGTCCAGCAGTGGACTTTAGTGGCTGGTTGATGATGATGATGATGTAATATTATCTTATAATTAATAATAATTTAACTTGTACGATTTATAATATTGAATAGGAAATCATTACCTATGGAAAAATAAGGAGGCCAACATGGCTATGGCAAACGAAGTGCTCAAATTTCGTTGGAGTCCAACTATATTCGGCGGATAAAAAATATGTTTTCAAATCTTAAAGAATTCCAGTCGGCTATGTCCATTACGAAAAAACTTTGAATCAGGAGTGTTATCTGAAAAGGATTATTTAGTAAGGTTTATCACCCTCTTTTGTATACAAAATATTGTATGTATTTACATATTTGGTTCAGTGCATCGTTTAAAGTTAAAGTAAGAAGTTTAAGGTATTTTACCAGGCAAATTTCGTGATATAACACAATTTCTATTGAATTGTAATTTACTGAGCACATGTATGTCAATTTAGAGCATTTTATCAAAACACATAGAGTTTTATAGAGTATCCCCAAAAATGTTACACATCAAAGTTGTGTTTTTTGAAATGGAACACCCTATACCGGGTGCGTCTCGAAAGTGGCTCATTTTATAAATCCTAAGATATGAGTAAACATATTTCGACAGTTTCAGAGATATTAATAAATAAATAAAAAATATATATTTTTCAGCCTTTCTTAAAAAAAAAATGTTAAAAATACAAGAACTGTTTTGAAATCAAAACTATATTAGGTATTTAAGTATACAGGGTCGGTCATAAAGTTGTGGCACATCAAACTTTTTTTTTTAAATGAAACCCCCTGTATATTATTGCATATTTCAATTCTTCCTTCAATTTTAAGCAATAATCATGATACATAATGTAATAAATTGAAGAATTGAAATGTTAAACAAAAATTTCGTAATTTCCAAACTTGGTATAATCTCATTTTATATATCTATAAATGCTAACTTGAGAACTAATGTCAAATATTTTTAAGTGTCGCAGTTTCGGCAGAATGGCATCGTTAAATGAAACTGACCATATCGAAATATGTGCAAAAATCAATAACGGTTGGTTTGAGGTATATTGTGTGTATCTTTTGTGTTTTTGGTTAGAATTGAAAGAAGAACCGAACTATGCAATAATATACAGAGTGTTCCATTTAAAAAAAATGAAACTTTGATGTGCCACGACTTTATGACCGACCCTGTACATTTAAATTTATTACCCGCTAATAGATATTTAAAAACTCTATAACCTTTGTATTTAACTTTTTACGGTACCTCCTATATTTTACCGAATAATCGACCGTTTCCATACATCACAGTCCTGTATAGTCCGACATACCAGGCCAATCATCTGGCTCTGAGATACGCAAATGTATATATTTACAACCATATAAATAATGTTGACATTTCCGAATTTTTGAAGGTTGGAAAATGTCAGTTTTTTAACTTTTATTTCCCACCCACGGGTGGAAAGTTTACTTCCCTCCCGTGGCGTGGGTGTGAAGTAAATACAGATTTTTAAATTAAGACGAAAACATTTTTTTAAAGATTTTATTTTAATGCTGCTTTAATTGCAACTTTTTTTATAGAAAAGTCTCTTAAACAAACTACAATCGGTGTTACAATGTCCTATTAGGTACATTTTGTATTAAAAGTATTAAAATAAAAAGTTTAAAACAACAAATAACAATTTATTCAAATTAATTGTTACATTCGAATTATTATATGCTTTGACACTTATGGATACCACCTTGTTGGTTGCAGTTTCTGTAACTTCTGGTGGGGTACCAATATAAAAGTAGTCTTCATTATCAGAACTTTCCGACAACATTCTGGCTTTCTATGTTAAGGTGCGTATTCACTTGCAACAAAACACTCCGAACAAACCAAATGCGCCGCGCACTCCAAACAATCTGTAACAAAACATTTTCCGAGAGCGCTCTGAACGACCTGCAATAAAACATTTTGCGCGGATCGTTCCGCCTGTTTGCGGTGTTCGCTACGTTCTCACCAGTAATCAGTGTTAGTGTGTTTGTCGACATGGATGCATCTGATATTACCATAGCCGCTGGTGCTTTTTTAATTATAGAGGAATTAGGGGGTAACAAAAAAGAGAAGAAAAGGAAAGGACGAACAATGTGGGCAAGACGTCTCTTTTTGCGCCGTCAATATAATATGGCCTTACTTAGTGACCTAGATTATATGCATAAGAAGAATTTAATTAATTTAATAATTAATTATTAATTTAATAAAATAGGCCGCCTTTCCAACTCATCAATCAACTCTAAACACTTTTCTCTGTTCCACTCCATAGCTAGGTAGAGTTTAAAAACACAACGAACGTTCAAAACTGCCGTATCTACTGAACACCGGAAAACGAACAAATTCTTTTGAGCAAATCCCGTTTACCGACAAGCTTCGGAAAATATTTGGCGCGTTCGGTTTGGTTCGGCGCAACGTACTGACTACACAAGTTTGTTACAGCGCGTGCGGCGCGTTTGGTTCGTTCGGAGTGTTTTGTTGCAAGTGAATACCCACCCATATACAAACTAAAATATATAGGAAACTGAAATGATACCGTCTGTTGGAGAATTCAGTGGCTCCGTACATCGGGTCGTTACACAACTTATGATACAATTTTATTTTATTTTACAGGAAATTTTACATTGTTGCGTCGACTCTAGCGTAATCTATTATCAATTTTTGGAACGTAATTAATTTTTTTTGTACAGAAAATAGATTTTTTTCTTCTATTTCCTATTTTTTAATATGAATAAGATACTCTAAATGCGACATCGCTCCATTATATCATATTGTTCTCAAACAGGTGATGTTTCATTTAGAATTAACTTATTCTCATCAAAAAATATGAAATAGATAGAAAAAACAGCTATAGTTAATAAAATATAAATAATTAACTGTGTGTGGATATGTTGAATAATTATTATTAGTAATAGCTTTATTAAAAAAAGTAAATAATACAAATTGTACAATAAATAAAATTTCTTCTTCAGACGAAGGCTCGCACGGCACTGCTATACTTAACTTGTTCATATAAATACAATAATAATTATAAATCAATACAATAGCTTTAAATAATATAAAATACAACTAACAAAGTTTTGTCGCGAACTTATTCGAAGCGCGGCGAAAAAATGTGAATTGGATCAATGGTATCTATGTATAAAAATGCAGACCTACTGATTAAAGCGAAGTAACGTGAATCAAAATACATGCAATTAATCCAATGACATTTCGGCCGCCGCCGGCGCTTCGCAAAAGTTTAAAGTATGATGCGCACTTGAGCGAAGCGCCCCGAAGCCGAAGCCATGCGAAGCACTGTTTTTCGCACGCGATGAATAATTAAAGTTGTTTTAAGTTGGCCTTTTTAATTTTAGTATTAGGCGTAGAGAAATATTATCTCTGTGACGATTTGATAAAAACATTGGATTCATAACATTAATATAAAAATGCCTTTTATTCTGCATTTTTCATCAATTTCTACCCAGGTATTGTCTCGTCTCAATTCATTATGATAATTTGGGTTCTTAACAACTCTTTGTAGCTCTGTATAATCATAATGAATGTTTCACCATCCTTGATCTCAGTAATTAAACTGAATTCACAGGTTGTACGATTCCTTTGCTATACTTGCGATCTGAAACAAATAAATATGTATAGTTATGTGATACATAAAAAAACCTCGAGTATGGTTTATATGATGAAAAAATCAAAAATTTGATACCGTTGAAGGGCTCTAAAATCTCAAAAGAAATTGGCTATGAATTTTTTATCTTAGTCTTTAAGCTAACACAGGCATCATTTTTCATAAGAAATATATTATGGTGCTTCATATGCCTTTTATAAGCAGGATTCAAAAACAATTGCTAATAAAGCAAATTTACATTTTTGAGTAGTATACTCCACTTATTATATTTTTTAATTCTTACCTAACTTGAGTGTAAACAACTGCCTGGGTTAAATTCTTAAAAGAGGTCTTACAAGAGAAAGATCTTACCTCACTCGCAAAAACTGCATCATCTGCACTCTGGAAGATTCCTGGTTTTGGGTTGTCTGATTCTTTCTCTAAAATGATAGATACAATTTGAAAAATCTAAAACGATAATTTTAATAAACCAAATTCAGTTTGGATTCGTATACATATTAACATTTTTAATATACTTTGGAATATCTAATAATTATTGAATCACTCTCTGCCAAATTAAAGTAGCCAGTGCCATAACTTGTTTATTTGCAGCTCAATTAAAATATTTTTTGTTATAAAGTTGATATGATATATTTTTTTAAATAATGTTAATCTTCATTACTGAATATTTTGCGATTTTTATTTGGCCCACGATGTAAGTACCTACCCTTTTCAGTTACTGCTTTTCTCAGGTAACAGTACAAGTCTAATTCCAACGAGAGAGTGGTCCACCAACAAGTTCTAACAAATGTTTGTCTTTAAATACAGGGTTTGTACCTGGATCGACATCACTGGATACCAAATTACCAGTAGGTTGATCATCTAAAATATTATTTTAATTTTATTAAATCAAAATATCTGAAAATGTTCTTTATTTAACTAAATGCATATACTTACCCATATGAACTGGTGTATATAAAAACTTTAGAATTAACTTCTAAACCCCTTTTTATTCCAGGTACGATCTTGATTACAAAAATGTAAATCACAAACTATAAATCTTTTAAATATCTTGATGTGTTGTATTTTCCATTTTAAGGTGTTTTGCACTTGATATCACTTTTGAAATAATGTAGGATCGTTCTTCGAGAATGTATGTCTTTTGGAAAACAAATCCGACATCGGAACAACATACTTATGAAAGGGTTTACGGCCTGATTCCATCATTGTTTTTAATAAAAAGTTTAAATAATCACTAAAATTCCAGTAAAACTTTTTTCGATTTTTGACGTTACATATTATTAAATAAATAAATAAATAAATAAATAAATAAACTTGATTTGATTTGAACTGCCTAAATATTTTCGCCTTAAGCGCGACCGGTGGTTCGTCATAGAACTAATAAATTTGTGTATAACTGGTTGCGGTAAAAAAGTCCTTTCAAAGATCTCAATTTCAGTTTCCCATATATTTTAGTTTCTATATGATCAGTGTTAGTGTGTTTGTCGACATGGATGCATCTGATATTACCATAGCCGCTGGTGCTTTTTTAATTATAGAGGCATTAGAGGGT